CTCAGTAGTAAAGGCCTTATTTTTTTTTTTTTTTTTTTTTTTTTTTTATAGCTCATCAAACCTCTATGGCTAATGTAAAGTCAAAACATTTTGGATTGTAAGATTTTTTTTTTTTCTTTTTTTCTGCAAGTGCATTAAGATTAAAATTTTTCAGAACAATTTCTATTAATCCTTAGCTTGGGGGAGAATTAATACCTTTCCCAAGGGTACTTGCATATAAGTGAATGCAATGAAGCCAACAGGAATTCAAACCCGGCTCTCTGATTTCTCATTTGAAGCTGTTTTTTCCCTTACACCACCCAGACATCCTGTTGTCAGTCAAAGTAACCTTTATTATCATTACCCCCACACTGATGTGCCATTAATGGTCAGTGGATATTTGATTTCAACAATGTGATTCAAAAAGTAGAAAATAAATTAATAAAAGTAGTAAAAACTGCTTGTGACAATATTTCAACTCAGAATTTGAATAGTTTATGACTTCTTGTACTAGTGAGCAAGACAATATTTTAGAGATATAACAGACTTAATTGGCTGAATTGGTGAAGGTGTTATCCATGAGATTACAAGCACTCAGGACATGGAACGCTACTACTTCATTAGTATTACTGTAGACTACTTTAACAATCTCAGAGTTCATTCAACCTACAAAGTTATGAAAAAGAGAAACAAAAAAATGTTACAGGATGTAGAAAAAAATTAAGGAGAGCAAAAATATTTAATCTTGTGAACAAATTAAATTTTGCTGCATACAGCACAAGGCCAAATGGAATGGGGAGGATCTACTTGCCTACCTTAACATGTTCACTGCAACATTATGCACATGGATATTCATTCCAGTTTCACCATAAAGTCTTGCCTATTTTTTTTATCATTAGAATTCTGTTTGTTCCTCCATAGTCAACAAATTAGTATCAGTGTTATGCCCTGCCATCACTGCAGATAAATAATGGACCATTCCATTTTGTGAGGAAAGATGAAAAAAAAACAAAAAATGACGTATCAGAGACGCTGTTTGCTTTGAGTAAGAAAAAGAAAGCATACATGAGAAAGGAAAGATAGAGAAGGCGATAATGCTCTCATGCATTTAATGTCTGCTTCAGTGAAATGGAAAACTGTCAATTTGCAATCTTTTAATTTGTACCCTCTTACTATTTTTTCATACTTATTTTGCAACATCTCGTTAAAGTTGTTAAGTTGAAATTTGCATAGATATTTTGTAGTTGTGGGACTTATTCAAAGAGCTTATTCAATTATTATTATTTTAATTAGGATTCATCAGAAAATTCAAATAGGAAAATGGTGAAATTTTCATGGATACTGGTAGGGGAAATAAATCTATTTCATTTCCTTCTATGTACAATGTCCCTTCAGAATATGGCTCTCCACAATCTCATATCCCTTGTAGCACTTAATAAGGATTGTCCTTTTGCCAAGCCTCTCACACCCCATTCAGCCATCCATTCACACAAGCTTATCAGACAGATAGCCTTATGCCTTCCCTTATTCCTTTTATGTCCTGTGGGTATTAAATTCTCCAAGTCTTCTTTCATCATTATGTGTCTATTTATTATTCCAATTAAAAATCCAACTCTTAATGTATTAGTTTTATCTTTTACACTGGCGCCAATTTGGTACACTTTTGTCACTAAGGCGGCACACTAAGATTTAATAATCTCTTGCTGTGTTTCTTCAGGACATCACCTCCATAGCTTCTTTAATATCTATAAACTGCATTACTTTCTCCACGAACAATCATAGAGTTGTTTCCCCACTCCTAGACTGGTTGCCAACCAAGACTGGGAAGCCCTCTCTCAGCTTTGCTATATAAAAAGGAGCTGGAGAGAGGAGAGATGGATTTATGTATTTCCCAGGGGTTATTCACATCAAGTGAACACAAACTATCTCAGCTAGAACCATTCTCTTCAATGTTAACCATTAAACCACATGTATTACATCATGTATGACATCACAAATCATTGTTCATTGTGGAACAGCACATAAGACAAGTTCATTCACTAATTCAACAGGATAGTCATTTAAGTCATAACTAGAATAAGGGAGATGCTACACAAGTAACATTCAGGAGAATTTAATGAGTATCAATCCTCAATGATTCACCCTTAAATGAGTGACAGGAAAATATAAAAGAAAATATTACAGATTTTGCAAGTATCAGACATTGGCTAAGATTAATTAGTCATAAGGTCAAATGAAGTTGGGGTGGTGATCAATAAATACCAAACTCACTACAGTTTAAAACTTTCCAGCTAATATCTGTTATATATATATATATGTGTGTGTGTGTGTGTGTGTGTATGTATGTGTGTGTGTGTGTGTTTGTTAAAATATTGAAGTATAGAAGTGGACATTGAAGTCAACAATGTTTCATGCTAAATACAATTGTCAGGACATGTGTTTATGGCCTGACTATTGCATTTAGCATGAAACAGACTTGCCTCTGGGTGTTAACTTTAGTGTCCACTTTTATATATATATATATATATAATTCATAAGGCTATCAAGAAGCTTAGAAGTGTTTTTAAACACAAGCAATTTTTTTTTTTTTTTTTAATCATGGAGGCAAAAATGTCTCAACAGTATTAAATATTTTCTTGAAATCTATATATCCCATTCAAAGTTCAAAGGTTAATAATGATATGTGTGAGGTGATCTTGCTATTACACCATAGAGAGAGAACTTCAGTGACTGATTTAAGATTATGTTGTAAACGATTTTTTTTTAAACTGCCTCAACTTGAATTATGAAATAGCCAATTTAAAGTAGATAATGCATATTGTTTTGGTTCAATGAAAAAGGAAATGTATTATAACATACGTTGGTAGTTAAGCCTGTCATTGAGCCAATTCCTCCATTTTTCTATGCTTTATTCTTGTTAGCACTGTCTCATCATTGTGTTAGGAGTCATGACATTACACTAAAGTTGTTTTTTTTTTTTATGTGTAATAATAAAAATATTCCCAAAATCTGAAAATAACTTTGAATATATAATGCTGTCTTGAAAACAAAATGCCACATCTTGTCCTAATAATGAGGCTGTGCAAGGAATACTGGGGGGGGGGGAGGCTAAACCTGCAGTGAAAGAGTTCAGCTTCTGTAGATTTGACTAAAAGCAAACATTTACAGTCTTTTCTACAGAGATCATTTATACAAAAAAGTGAAAATAATTTTCACTTAACTAAATTTTAAAAATCAAGATCAAAATTTTAGCAATCATGAGAATATTGGAAACAAAGAAAAAAAAAATAACAAATCTTTAACAAAACAATGACCATATTTTGAGTTTTTTTTCCAAATTGTATTTTCTGGTCAAAGTTCACTTTCAGAAAAGGCGCCCACAAAACTGATCTACAAAAAATTGACAAAATAAAAAAATATATATGTCTTGCAAGGTGATACATCCAAGCTAAATTCAGTGGGTTTGTTTTTTGGGGGTTCTTTTTGTCTGTTTTTATATATATATATATTTTTTTTTTTTTCAAGAAGGGAGGGGGCTGTTTATGTTTTAACCAAAATTTGAAAAGTCCAATGATTCTGCCCTCTGTCATTTTTTTTTTTTTTTTTTTTTTTTAAACACTTCAACCATCTTTGTTCTTTACTTTCATCTCAATTTGGCATCAGAATTTTAGTTTCCATCTGTCATCATTTTCATTCCCAAAAATCTGATTACCCAACAAAGGACAGGTAAAATCACATGAGAATCTGGGATGCAAAATTTCCAAAAGTGTATGGGAAGTTTTACTACTTAAACCATACACTTGTCCTAAAGGCTGCAGGTTAAAAAAAAAAAAAAAAAAAAACAACATTTCAATCAACAAGTTTCTAAACCTCTTTCAAATGACAACACAAAGCATAAGCATGATAAACTGCCAGTTGTTTTGTTAAGTCACTGGAAATATCAAAGTTGCCCTGAGAGAAGTCTCCCAACCCCCACCATTATCATAAACTGTGACAAAAAACTATGGTATATTTTAAAAGACCAAAAATATCAATTCATATTGCTTTCTCACATTTATATGGAACTCGGCTAATGTTAGATAAGTAGAAGAATTGATTTCTATAGTCTTTATTGTTTGGTGGATGGTTTTGGGTATTAAATGTTTTTTTATATATATATATATATATATATATATATATATATATATATATATATAATAAAAAATGGTAAATCTCAAAGGAGTCACCTGAAAAAAATGTGCAGACACTTGTTCAGTGAAATGTTAACAATTTTAACTTGAGGATGAGTGTACAATCTAAATAAAAAGCTTTCCATATTAAAAAATTTATATATATATATATATATATATATATATATATATATGCATGTATAAAAAGTCATCCATGGGCATAAAATGCAATCATAAAGGAAAAAAATGCCATTTTTTTTCACTTTTGTTTCATCCTTCATTTTTTTTTCTTTTTTTACTGTCTCCTCCTTTCTTTTTACTCTGTCTATCCAACACACAATTTTTATTTGTCACATGATGTAAACACAAAAGTATACAATAAAATGCATACCTATGTGTGTGTGTGTGTGTGTGTAAATTTGTATTTCCATGTAATGAGGTGTTTTAAAAAAAAAAAAAATTATGGGGAGGACATGCACAGAGGTATATATGCATGGGGATAGAAGGGAGACGTGTATCTGTGGGTGAAAGAAATGTGTGTGAGTAGAGAACATGGTATTATGAATTAAATGATTTCAAGTTACACGCAATAGGAGAACCCAGCATAAAGTAAAACAAGAATTGGCCTCTGTACATATGGAGATATGTTCAGATATTATCTTTAATTCTGATTTTGCTAGTTTTTAAATGCATACCTAGTGTTTGTGTGTGTGTGTGTGTGGCACAAGGTGTGTAGGCAGTGACCAATGGAATAAAGTCCAGGTGACCATGTTGCCACCTGTTAAACTGCAGCAGAAAGAGGGTATGACATCCGTGGTATGATGGCTGTAGAAAAAGCGGTCTTGTCTAATTTTATCGGAGGTCTTTCAGCAATATCTTGTAGATGTCATTGTTATTATCTGCAAAAACTAGATTGAAAGAGAAAAATAAATTACATGTGTTAGAATAAATAATAAAGAAGTCACAAATGCATCAAATACTGGTCATAATTAAATAGTGACTATAACAGCCATTATTTATGAATATACAATCAAAATAATTTTCTTTAAAAGTATGACCATACTACAAAATTCATGAGGCTATCAAGTAGCTCAATATTTTAGAAGTGTTTTTAAACACAAAGCAATTTTTAGACATGGAGGCAAAAATGTCTCCACAGTATTAAATATTTTCTTGAAATCTATATATCCCATTCAAAGTTCAAAGGTTAATAATATGTGTGAGGTTAATCTTGCTATTACACCATAGAGAATTTCAGTGACTAGTTTAAGATTATGTTGCAAAAGATTTTGTTTTTTTTGTTTTTTTTAAAATGCATCAACTTGAATTATGAAATAGCCAATTTAATGTAGTCAATGCATTTTGTTTTGGTAAAAAAAAGGAAACAAAAAAAAAACAAGAGAATGACAAAGACGAGAGAAAAAAAAAAAAAAAAAAAAAAAAAAAAAAACCGGAGAAAAACGAGAGAAAAAAAAACGGAGAAAAACGAGAAAAAAAACAGAGAAAAAAAAAACAGAGAAAAAAAACAGAGAAAAAAAAACAGAGAAAAAAAAACAGAGAAAAAAAAACAGAGAAAAAAAACAGAGAAAAAAAACAGAGAAAAAAAACAGAGAAAAAAAACAGAGAAAAAAAACAGAGAAAAAAACAGAGAAAAAAACAGAGAAAAAAACAGAAAAAAAAACAGAAAAAAAAAGAGAAAAAAAGAGAAAAAAAAAAGAAAAAAAAGAGAAAAAAAGAGAAAAACAAAGAAAAAAACAGAAAAAAGAGAAAAACAAAGAAAAAAAACAGAAAAAAGAGAAAAACAAAGAAAAAAACAGAAAAAAGAGAAAAACAAAGAAAAAAAACAGAAAAAAGAGAAAAACAAAGAAAAAAACAGAAAAAAGAGAAAAAAAAAGAAAAAGAGAAAAAAGAGAAAAAAAAGAGAAAAAAGAGAAAAAAAAAAGAGAAAAAGAGAGAAAAAGAGAGAGAAAAGAAAAAAACGAGAAAAAACGAAAAAGAAAAAACGGAGAAAAAAAAAAGAAAAAAAGAAAAAAAAGAGAAAAAATGAGAGAAAAAAGAAAAAAAGAGAAAAAAGAGAAAAAAAAAAAAAAAAACGGAGAAAACGAGAGAAAAAAAAAAAACGGAGAAAAACGAGAGAAAAGAAAAAAACGGAGAAAAACGAGAGAAAAGAAAAAAACGGAGAAAAACGAGAGAAAAGAAAAAAACGGAGAAAAAACGAGAAAAGAAAAAAAACGAGAGAAAAGAAAAAAAACGAGAGAAAAGAAAAAATGAGAAAAAGAAAAAAAGAAAAAAATGAGAAAGAAAAAACGGAAAAAAGAGAAAAGAAAAAAAAAAAAAAGAGAAAAGAAAAAACGGAGAAAAGAGAGAAAAAAAATGAGAGAAAGAAAAAAATGAAAAAAAAAAAAAACGAGAGAAAGAAAAAAATGAGAAAAAAGAAAAAAAAAACGGAGAAAAATGAGAGAAAAAAAAAATGAGAGAAAAAAAAAGAGAAAAGAAAAAAATGAGAGAAAAGAAAAAAAAAAAAAAGAAAAAAAGAGAAAAAAAAAAAAACAGAGAAAAAAATGAGAGAAAAAAAAAAAATGAGAAAAAGAAAAAAAACGAGAAAAATGAGAGAAAAAAAATGAGAAAAATGAGAGAAAAAAAAAAACAGAAAAAACGAGAGAAAAAAAAAGAGAAAATGAGAGAAAAAAAAACAGAAAAATGAGAAAAAAAAACAGAGAAAAACGAGAGAAAAAAAAAAAAAACAGAAAAAAAACGAGAAAAAAGAAAAAAAAGAGAAAAATGAGAGAAAAAAAAAAGAGAAAAACGAGAGAAAAAAAAAAAACAGAGAAAAACGAGAGAAAAAAAAAAACAGAGAAAAACGAGAGAAAAGAAAAAAACAGAGAAAAACGAGAGAAAAGAAAAAAAACAGAGAAAAAAGAGAGAAAAGAAAAAAACAGAGAAAAAAGAGAGAAAAGAAAAAAACAGAGAAAAAAAGAGAGAAAAGAAAAAAAACAGAGAAAAGAGAGAAAAAAGAGAAAAAAGAGAAAAAAAAAAAACAGAAAAAAAAAGAGAAAAAAAAGACAGAGAAAAAGAGAAAAAAAAGACAGAGAAAAAGAGAAAAAAAAGACAGAGAAAAAGAGAAAAAAAAGACAGAGAAAAAGAGAAAAAAAAGAAAAAAAAGAGAAAAAAAGAGAAAAAAAAAGAGAAAAAAACAGAGAGAAAAAAAAACAGAGAAAAATGAGAAAAAACAGAAAAAAATGAGAAAAAAAAAACAAAAAAGAGAAAAAAACAGAGAAAAGAAAGAAAAAAAAGAAAAAAAAGAGAAAAAAAAAAAAAAAAAAATGAGAGAAAAAAAAAGAGAAAAACGAGAGAAAAAAAAAGAGAAAAATGAGAAAAAAAAAAAAAAACGAGAGAAAAAAATGAGAAAAAACGAGAAAAAAACAGACAGAAAAAAAAACGAGAGAAAAAAAACAGAGAAAAATGAGAGAGAAAAAAAAAGAGAAAAACGAGAGAAAAAAAGAAAAACGAGAGAAAAAAACAGAAAAACGAGAGAAAAAAAACCAGAAAAACGAGAGAAAAAAAAAACAGAAAAACGAGAGAAAAAAAAACAGAAAAACGAGAGAAAAAAAAAACAGAAAAACGAGAGAAAAAAACAGAAAAACGAGAGAAAAAAAAAAAAAAACAGAGAAAAACGAGAAAAAAAACAGAGAAAAACGAGAAAAAAAAAAACAGAAAAACGAGAGAAGAAAAAAAAACAGAAAAACGAGAGAAGAAAAAAAAACAGAAAAACGAGAGAAGAAAAAAAAACAGAAAAACGAGAGAAGAAAAAAAAACAGAAAAACGAGAGAAGAAAAAAAAACAGAGAAAAACGAGAGAAGAAAAAAAAACAGAGAAAAACGAGAGAAAAAAAAAGAAGAAAAACGAGAAAAAAGGAGATAAAAAAAGAAGAAAAGAAAGGAAAACGAAAAAGAATGAATGAAAAAGAAAAAGAAAAATTCTTTGTGGTTGGTTCTGCACGATTTTTCACCACTGTATTCAAATCATAAGGTAAGGGAAAATATTTCTCTTTATTCTCTACATTTACATTAAGTTTCCCAAAGACTAATATTTTTATATGCCAATAAGCCAACCTGCTTTTTGTATAATGGTAAAAAAAAAAAAAAACAATCATAAAAAGTGAGAATATAACAATGTTAGACATCCAGAGATTATCCAGAGTTCAAACATGGATTATTTCTTTTCATTTAAATAGAAATTTGTATACCTTTAATTGCTGATATAAGAAAACGGGATTGGTCTTGAAAATTGCGAACTACCTGTAAAAGAGAATAAAAGGCAAATTATAAGCTTTTTAGAAAAAAAAAAAAAATTTCCATCATTTCAAACCAAACAAGGCACTAAAACCACTAAGACACAAGGGGTTAATGAGTGTGAGTGAATATGAGAAAAAGAAAACACTATTAGGAAGAATTAACAATAAAATCAGATAATGATTAACATTGCATTTAAATTTTTGAAGATGACTGGAAAGTAATAAGCTGAAAAAGAGTTCCATAAGTAAGAAGAAAACTGTTAGCATAGAACTTAGTTACATCTAGCCATTTCAACTGTAAAATGGTGAGACCTTGACACCAATCTAGTAGTACGTTTAAATTCATAAAGTCTAGGTACCAAGGAGGTAAGATCACCAGAACAATTACCATGAAAATATTTATAAAAAAGGCACAAAGAAGATATGTTACAGCGGTGGGAAAGTGACTGAAGATGTGATGACAGGTCAGGAGCAATAATATTGCATATTCTTTGTTATTTTATCAAGAATCTCTAAATACATAACAGAAGCAACAGACAAGATGTAACAGCAATATTCTGTGATTTATAATAGAAAAACTATTATACTTAGATATACAAGAATAAATTTCTCAATCTTTTTTTTTTTTTAAATATATTTCTGATAATAAAAAATTATTTTTTTTTTTTACTAAGGAAAAAAAAAAACAAAAAAACTAATGTATACTTGCAAGTTATAAACTTTATTCAGTATAAATTTGAAATATCTTTCTAACTTTATTTACAGACTTCACTAATTTATAAAACAAATGGAAACTTACTGCAGTGTGATGCTTAACAATTTCAGAGACCAATTAATTCACTGTAGTGAATTTGATCCTCAAATAGCCTTGTGCCCAACTAAGTCTTAGAAAATGGCTATATTTAAAAAAACAAAAAAATTTCAGTTTGTGATATTTTTAAAAAGCTTTAATTAAAATTGATAATTGTAATTCCACACAGCCATATTTGAACTGTCCATTAAGTTTCCAAAAAGAATTTACCTCATCATTGACAACTATATGGATTCCTGATGGCCCTTGCCAGAACATCTCTGAGATTTGATGAACTTCCAGGGTAAAGAGATCAGCCAATTTTTGTGTTATTTCTCTGGAAGTTGGGTTGTCAAGAAAAACTGCATGATAAGCTGAGAAGAAAAAAAAAATAAAGCCATTGTCCTTATTGATAAGAAAATTTCATGTGTAAAGAAAGACAAAATACTAATTTAAAAAAAAAAAAAAAAAAAAAAAAAAAAAAAGATTAAAATAATTTTCTTTTAAAAATAAATGAAGGGATAATTCATTATGTCCTGAGTTTAAAACATATTTCAATAAGTGATTTACATCACGGTATTATTTTACTATGACACTCATCCAACTATTATTTTATGCTCTTTAATTAGTCAACTGGCCAATGACATTGATATAAGGGCAAAATTTATTATGTACATTCAGTCAATGTGGGAGACAGGTGTAATAGGAAAAATTTACCTACATCACTACTTTCACATTACCTGTCAAAAAGAGGGTTAGTTAGGCACAGATCAGCACTTCTGTCTAGAATCAGTTTAAGATCTCTGCATCATGAAAAGTTTTGCACACACAATATATGTTTTAAAATGCATTTGACACCATGAGATGCATTTTTGCCATCTCTGCTTAGTTCTTTTACATTGTGGACACTCATTTGCAAAAAAAAAAAAAAAAAACCACACCATAGCTATAGCGGATAAATTTAAAATTTTAAAATAATTATAACAGCGTACGTTCATACATGTTTACAAAAATCACCATCACATTAAGTTTGTCTTCACAATTAAACCCCAAGGATGATCCCAGAGATCAAAAGTATTTGGATTAATAAAAACTATGGTACGTTGCTTGATGAATTTCAACTTATCAAGAACCTAATTAGAGAACTAGAAACGATTATTATAAAAATAGATATATGTCTATATTATTCAATGAAACATGCTTCAATGATGATATATATATATATATATATATATATATATATATATATAATTAATAGTGATAACAAAGATAGTATAAAGCTAAAAATGCTGTCGGTCAGTAGAAGACTGAAAGAAAGGACATTTATGTTGGGCAGTTTTTTTGTGATAAAGTGCTCAATATCAAAGATGGAACATTAATAGAATTAATAAAAGTATAAAATTTATCACTTAGTTGATTGATGTTATATTTAACACCTCAACTCCACAGTTTCATAGACAAACCATTTTGCAATTGTTCAGTTCACTTATCAGGAGGATTTAAGCAGAAATGAAAATAATACTGACATCTCATTTTCACAGATATATTTAGGATATATTATAAAGGATATGCTCGCGCCAACTAATATTACAAAACTACAAGCATTCTTAGGTTTTGCAATCATACATACATATGCACAAGTTGAGAGCACCATTAAATAATCTACTAAAGAAGGATGTCAAGTGGAACTGGACAGAAAAATGTCAAAATGCATTCGAGCAGGTTAAGAAAGTATTAGCATCAGAGCTGTCACTGACTTGTTTCAATCCTAAACTGAAAATTGTCCTTGCATCTGATACAAGTGATGCAGGGATTGAGGCAGTGATTTTACACAAGTATGATGACAAGACTACAAAGCCAATAGCACATGCTTCAAGGTCTTTAATTGCAGCTGAAAGAAGCTACAGTCAAATAGAGAAAGAAGCATTTGCTATTATATTTGCAATGAAGAAATTCCACAAGTTTTTACATGGACAGGGATTTATTCTTCAAACAGACCATCAACCATTGTTATCAATATAGGGATCTAAAAAAAGGTGTTCCTACACATACGATGAATAGACTGCAGCACTGGGGAACGTTCCTATTAAATCATAATTATAAGACGGAACTTTTACCATCTAGAAGCTAAGTCATGCAGACGGTTTATCTAGATTAGTACCAAGATGTGACACCCTGGAAGACATGGCAATTAGGGCCTAAAGCAAAATAAGCAACATACTATACAATATCATGAGAGAGCTGCCAATTTCATTGGATGAAATTAAAATTAAGGCAGAGAATGACCACTTCATAATGAAAATGAAGGATAAACTAAAATCTACAAGAAAAAAATACTATTGGAAATAATAGTGCATTTTCATTATGCGATGGTGTACTGATCTACACCGAGACAGTAGTTGTACCAGCACCCTTAGAAAGATGCAAGTTGAAAGAGTTTCATAGAGGACATCCGGGGATTTCTAGGATGAAATCTTTAATGAGATGGTACACCTACTGGCCGAATATGGACAAAGATATACAAAATTTGGTAAAATTATGTAGAGGTTGTGCTCTGGCAGCAAAGTGACCACCTATAAAAGTTCAACTTTGGCTGACAACTGATAGACCATGGACTAGAATTCATATTGACTTTGCTGGGCCAATAAATGGAGCGTACTATCTGGTAGTAATAGATAGCTTTACAAAATAGCCAGAAGTACTAAAATGCAGAAGACCAACTACCACAGTAACTATTAATTTCCTGCATGAAATTTTTGCAAGATCTGGCACTCCTGACTCAATTGTGTCCGACAATGGTATGCAATTCACATCCAGTAAATTAAAGTTCTTTTGTAAGTCACTAGCAAATGAACACATTACTACTACCCCTTGTATCACCCTAGATCGAACAGATTAGCAGAAAATTTTGTTGACATGTTTAAGAGGGATTTAAGGAAATCGGAGGGAGAGGAGTCAGACAAGATTATGATTCAACAGTTTTTAAGTGTTTACCATATTACGCTAAACCCAAACACCATGTCAGGAATGTCAATGGCAGAATTGATGATCACTAGAAAAATCAAGCCCATCTTCAATAAGCTGCTACCTGAATGCAGAATGATAACATCAAAGAGTAACTACAGAAATACCTATTTCAAACCTGGAGAAAAAGTATTTCAGTGCAAAAAAATTTTGGCAAGATGGCGTCATTAAGAAATGTATTGGCAGAATGATGTACATAATACAAGGACAAAAGTGGGAGCACAAGTGACATATTAACCAACTAAAACATTGTTTAATCAAATTAAAAAGTCCCTGAAAGGAAGTACCGATGGATATTCTATATGACACATTCAACATTCCTATGCCAGCAGAAATAGTGCAACCAAATGTTTATGGCAAAATGAAACGAAGGCCAACAGAATTTCTAACCATCGAACCCAAGATAAAAAAAAATATTGACCCCAGGAGTGGTCATTTCAAAGGGGAGGTGTTGTATAAGAGTAAGTGTCATTGCTGACACTGTGGCCAATGAGTAAAGACAGGCAATTCCATTATTAAGTAGATTACGTGATCATAAAGGAAATGAATAAATAGGAAGTAGTGTGATGACTATACATTCATTGTTCACTCTTCTTGTCTATCCACTATTGCTATACATTCACTCTCTCTATTACTATATGGATTACAATTCTCTTGTGATCATTATACTATTTGGCCATTACTACTTGAACAAGTATTACTAGTGCGGATATTACTGGAAGGCGTTACTATTACTAGTATGAGCATCTACGAAGTCTTGACTACAACAAGCATTTTTAGAAGTGATAACGAGCTTTTGTTTGACATAACAAAAGTGACAAACGAAGCTGTCCAGCATCACAAAACATAGGGTCTTTCAACAGCCACCCTCTTGACCCAGGGGAGCACTACCTCTTCAAGGCAATTGATGTAGTCTTCCATGTTGAGTCTGAGGCCCTGTGGGAAGATGGCTGGAAACATAACATTGTGATCACTCCAAACACCTTTGTAATCATCATTAGACTCATCCAACTCTCCGAATCCTCTGCACTGTCCTCAGTTTGACACCCAAACACACTGAATTGTTCACAGTACAGCATGCTGTTTCCAAATTTCTGGCAAAGGGAATTGCATCGTGGAGCTCTTTTCCTCACAACAAAATCGAAAACAATGCACAAGCACAAAATGAAATATATAAAATGACAACAATTTACCTATCGCATCCTATAATATTTATAATAGTTAAAGTACATATATATATATATATATATATATGTGTAATGAGAGAGAGATACCCGTGTATATGGATGTGTGGGTGGTGTAATGAATAGTGGCACAGAGTGAGAAATCAGTGAGCTAATTTCAAATCCTAATCAATTTCTTTCCATTTCTTGTGCCTAGTTGCAAGTTAAATAGTAAGGAAGACTTGAGTGGCAACCTGTCTCAGAAGTACAACTCCAAATTAAAAACCTTCAACTGAAGGTAGCACTATTCACTGGATGATGGCAGATGATATTCAATGAGTCGTATTCATGTTGTACAAGAGTCTGCCAATCACTATCATCTCACTAAGTAACAGGTACTTATATGTAAGAAAGTGTTTATGCTCAAAACCAAGTAGATTCATATATATATATATATATATATATATATATATATATATATATATATATATATATATATATATATATATAGTGTGTGTGTGTGTGTGTATACACACTGCATATTATATAGGAAAAGTTCATAGCTTGATGAAAAAGTACATTAAAAAGCGATATAAATTAAAAAGAAATTCAGTATTTGATCATATTTTGAAAAGAAATTCAGGATGAGAACATTCCAGTACCTACTCGTGTTTTTTTCACATATTTGAAATCTTTGTGAATTAAATTTTGTAAGTTAGAGTGGCCATTGTCTTGTGCCAGACTAATGTGAGCTCAGAAACTTTATGAATACCATACCAACTGAAAGTTTCTTTTTTTTCAAAAAAGAAATTAAATTCAGCAAATATACACAATATTATAAACCATGTCTTCATACAAAGAAATATCTAGTATAAATAATGCTCAAAATGTACAAAATAAAAACGTGTGTGCATTTTGTTTCTTTTCAAAAGAATCAAGATAAGAGAAAAAAAGAAATGCCCTTTTTTATAATTTATAACTTTAAGAAAAAAAAAATTTACTTACCATGGTCCCCTTCCTGACAAACAAATATTGTTAACCTTGGCCTCACACACCTAAAAAAAAAAAAAATATATATATATATATATATATATATATATATATATATATATATATATATATATATATATATATGTATGTATATATATATATATATATATATATATATATATATATAAAAAGAACAGTAAGATATATAATCCAGTGTTCTTATAGATATTTTTATTTTTTACAAAATAGTGCTCAATGTAAATTTACAGAGCATTATTATTAAAAGAAATATAGTATATTAAAAATTAAAAGTGAAAATATTTTTCAAATTGTAGTTAAATAAAACGTATTCTAACCTAATCCCCCAAAAAAATCTTTAAATATACAAATAGAAAAAATGCCGTAAGAATATTTGCCGTTAACAATAAAATTTTTAAATAAATCCAGACGACATGCATTTAACGGATGTGAGATTTCATTGAAGAATACATCCCTACCCCCTACCAAAACGTAACTTATAACAGATACATCAAAACACAGACATAATGAACACGCAAACACCCCTTGTCTAGTGGAAGTGAATTTATCTGTAACCATGGAAACGTAAATTATGATTTTAGCTGTGTCTTTAAAACCCAGTAATTTTCAAAGTTACTCCAAAATTCGCTTGAGGATGAAATGGAACTAATGTCTTTAATTTAATTACAAAATTAAATTCGGACCTTCCATTTTTGAAACATGGTTAGAACTGTGTAGCAGAAAAACCATATTTTAAATCAATTTATTTATAATAATATATATATATATATATATATATATATATATGTGTGTGTCAGTCAAAAACCTTGCTGTTTGTTAATTACAAGACAATTATTAAGAGCAATACACAAAGAATGTCAAAATGAACACAAAAGTTTCTAAAAATTCTACATCTCGTACTCAACAATCTCCTACCATCTTGATCATCTCATTCCACCTTTGGAAAAGAACATGTATATGTGCCTGGTAGAAGCTTCTGGCTTCTTTTACCTAATCACTGAAAATCCATTGTTCTGAGTGTCTTCTTTGCTGGGCCCAAACAGATGAAAAACTGAGGGTGTCCAGTCAGGACTTTACAAGCTCTTTGGCTGTAACCATCCTCATCAAGACTTTCAGAATTTGGAGAATCTAATTTTCACAAACCTTTGATTAGACCGTTGACTGCATTAAACTGCAAGTACTACCATGACTCACCTGAAGGCTTTCACAGTGTTTCACAAAAAAGTGGTTCTTTTATCAGCTTAATAAGAGAATCAGCATGTTTGTCTATATACTTATTCACAGCAGCAATTGGCCTGCCACTGCAAGGCTTGTCACTAAGGTTATTTTCTCCTTTGCCTTTAGGATTGTATTAATTTGACTAACGTGCTTACATCAAGTGCAGAATTTTCATAAACATTCATTAATTTCCTGTGAATATTTACAGAACTTTCTCTAACCAAAAAGAAAAGAAAAAAATATTGACAGTTATTTCCATATAATTGGACATTTGCAAAATACAGTGCACCTCATTAAACATGTTCAATCCTCTATGGCTAAAGGTAGGACATGGCTGAATGTATTTATGCAACTGATTTCCCAAAATCAGTCTAAATAATAAAACATCAGAAATTGTTTTTGGAATCACTTTGGAAGTTTTTCAGCACCCTTCATATTGCCTAATTGGGGGGTAAAAAAAAAAAGGTGTAATGTGCACATATCATAGATTATATGTAACATGACAGTTAAACACAGCCCTGGATTAAGGGAGCAAATGATTAACTACAATCCCTCAGTTCAGGAGGCAAACGATTAAATACAACCCTCGGCTTGAGGAGGAACTGATTAAATGCAACTCCCAGTTTAGGAAGGGAATACAACTCTTGTACGGTGTTAAATACAATTCTTGGTTCAGGGAGGAGAGAATAAATACTAAAAGAACAAAAATGTTATGCTGCATGGATATGTTAAAATACTAAAGCTCACGGTTAAACAGATGTATTTTCTTAAAGAAATTTATTTTTTAGTACTTTTTCTTTTTTTAAGTTGGTATTTATCCTGCTAATTTCATCCATATTCACTGATAACTGAATACACAGTAACTTACTATGCAGGAACTTTACCAAAATAAAAAGTGAACTTTCATTTACCTGGCTTGTAAGGCATTGTTCAACCTAATTCCATCAGCCAAACCACAAATTTGAATGAGATCATCACGTGATAGCCGAAGTAGATCAGCACCTACAAAAGAACAGGTAAATTTAGTCATCACATGCAGAATTCTAAACAATTAAATTTGTTCTTGGTTTTCAACTGCTGCTAAATTTCAAATTTTTTTAATTTTTTTTTAAAGATTTTTAATCTCACTTATGTACAACATATTCAGCTTTACACACTCATAAGTTGATTGCTTTATTTTGTTTTTTATTGAAAAACACACAATTACAAGTTTTGAATTTGGATATAGTTGAGTAGCTTAAAAATAAATGTGCCCATGAGCAAGTCATATGTTTTTCCTTTGTTATAAGAGTTTTTGTTAGCTAATTGTTAATGCAAGGGGTTTTGTGTAAGTTCTGAAAAGAATTCATACATATTTCTTTGTGAATAAATCAAAAGAAGATAAAACCTGTGTCATTAAAAGAACAAAATTATTTGGGATAAAATACCTGAGTTATGATTAAAGTTCAGTTTTCTAAGTTCTTTGTTGTACAGCACTTAATTCAGAAAGCATTGAAACTTCATTCACAATGAGGTACAAAGGACGAATGTAGCCAGTGCATAAGTAACAGTCAATTTCCTGTGTACATAGCAGAAAATCAAATACTACAGTGTAACAGAATTTGACTGATTGTAGATGAAACTTAAACATAGTAAATATGAAATTATTTGCCATCAGCTTTTGAAGAAATTATCTTTAAAGAAATATTGTCAAAATAAAATGTTCATCTTACTTATTATAACACGCAGATTGTGTGCGTGTCTGTACGTTTATATATGGGATCGGATTTCCTACATTTTTCAACCAATTTCAACAAAACTTCACAGGACTACGTAAAATTACCTTGTGGTGGTTCTGACAGCGCCAAAAATTGGAAAAACACAATTGTTTTTGCATGAAATCAATTTGAAAACACGATTAAGAGGCATTAATGAAAGGGGGACAACTCATATCGAGTTATACTTATTAATATCGAATTACTGAGTTATACTTATTATAAAACCCAGGTTGGTTGTTTGTGTGTGTGTGTGTGTGTGTGTGTGTTCGTTTATATATGGGATCGGATTTCCGACATTTTTCAACCGATTTCAACAAAACTTCACTTTTTTTTTGGTAGGTAGCGTTTCTTATTGTCTTGCACACTTTTTTTTTTTATTTAAAGTTGTAAAATGAGCAAAATGTACATAACTGGATTAAGGATACATAATTTGAAGAAAGGAAATCAACTGATTACTAGTTTATTGCAATTGACTTTGGTTATTTATCCAATGGTTCAAACAAAGGATACATTTTTACTGAGAATAATCTGCTAATTAGAACTCTGATTGGATAAAAAAAATATTAAAGCAATGTGTTATACACATTTTATTATTGGATAAAATCTCAATGGCAGAATTCTCAAGTGGAAGGCTGTTTTAATTCACTCTTAACTCAGTGTTATTATTGGTTTCAATCCCCAAGAATGACTGCAAAACATTTGCCCCTCCACATTTTTTTTTCTTTTTTTAAGCAATTCATCCCAAGCAAGGCGGGAGTTCCACTAGTACACAAGGGGCTACAGAGAGTGTAAGTAAGAGAAAAGACTGGGTATTGGGGGGGGAAAGAAAATGATAAAAAGAACAGAGGAGGATAAAAAGAAGAATGGGGCTCAAGGCAACAGATGTCAATTGACATTACATTTAAATTGTCTACTTGAACACAAGGCTATATTTAAAATTGAATTGAGTCATTGATTCATTCATTTGATATGGTTTATCAATTGCAGGTTATTTAAAGACAGAAAAAAATTTTTAGATTCTAAGAATTTTTTTTTTTGAGATAATAATGGTTTAGTAGTACAAGTTTTACTAATTAACCCATAGTCATGAGGAGAAAAGGTAGATTAATAAGAAATAGTGAAAATGTGAAATCAAAATCTGAAAATTGGAATAGTGACATATGCCTTCCAAAACCTAAACAAAGTATTAAGAAACAAGAAAATTTAATTAGAAATGATTGAGTGATGGATTGTTTTTTTTTTTTTTGGCTTATCAACCCTTTGCAGGTTATTTAAAGTCAGAAAATGCTTTTAGATTGTAAGAATTTTTTTGATAGAAGTCTTACTAATTAACGTGCAGGTGGCAAGAGGAGAAGTAGATTCATACCTTTCTCACGGGTATTTGGACATAACTGAATCTAATGGACCCAATGGGAATTGGAACTCGGTTCTCCATTAACAATTCTGAGTCATTATCCATTACACCACCCACACACCCAAGCTTACAGCACCTGGTATTCTCATGCACTTACCTATTTAGGTACTGATGTTGCTTAACTTTGGTGATCATATGGAAACCAATATTTTAACATAAGACTTAAAATTGAAATACCAACATATTTGCAAGAATATGAAAAGGATCAAAGTCATAATAGAATATATAAATAGGTCAGGTATATCAAATAGTGGCATAGAGATAAAAAATAATAGAGATGTGAATTAAAGAGGAAAAACTTCTTACCTGAAAAATTTTGGAATAAGTGCACATAACTAGCAAATCTATTCTGATGTAGCCATGATGTGACTTCTGGAGCTGTGGCTTCCCCAGTGAGAGCCTAGCAGAAAAAAAACAATGAAAAATTGATTAGCAGAAAATAACCAAGGCTTTACATAATAGCAATGCAGTTTTGATAATTAAAAAAAATCTGATGGCAATTTTGATCAATTTCTTTTCTTTTCCTTTAATTTTGTTCATTTCCCATTTTAATATTTTATGTAGGGATCAACCAATCATATTTCACATTTTTTTCATTTGGTAGATATTATTTTTAAAAATGTAATTTGAACCATGACTTTGTAGGTAAACAAAATAATTTCAGTAAGTTTATTAAAAAAAAAAAAAAAAAAAAAAAAAAGTAATAATTGTTCATGTGTGTGTGTGTGTGTGTGTGTGTATATATATATATATAAATAAAAAGAAACATGGTTGGAACTGTGTAGCGAAAAAAAACATTTAAAATCAATTAATTTATAATATATATATATATATATATATATATATATATATATATATATACACACACACACACACACACACAGAGGATGTATCAAAATACTTTTACAAATTTTGGGGACAGGTTCCTATTCAAAGACAAACTATAGTTTCTTAAAAAAAAAAAAAAAAAAAAAAAAAAAAGAAAAAATTGACTGTAAATGTTGATCACTTAAGACATGTAAAATTTTTGAAAGAATATTTTTTCAATCTAGCTAAATTTATCTGTATTCTTTTTCTCTCCATCATCTTTGTCCCTGACTATCACATTGTAACAATTTTGAAACTACCAGTCTCTCGTTTTGTTTGCATGTGTAGACATGGCAACATCAACAAAGCCCAGTCTGATGAAATCCTAATGAATGAAACAAAAAATCTTCTTTCCAATTTGTCATATTATTTTTCTAAATAAGTTATATTATGCCAAATGCTGAAATTAATTGTTGTGAAAAAAATTTAAAAGAAAACTATCTTCATCAGTTTGTATGTATCTATATGTGTGTGTGTGTGTGTGTGTGTGTGTGTGTATATATATATATATATATATATATATATATATATATATATATATATATATATATATGAGGTCTGATCCAAAAGTATTGTGATTATTGCTATGGTAGTAGAGCTACTTGACAGATTAACCTTGAACTCTGTTGCACATGCACACTAAGTTATGTTCCTGCACACCTCTGTAGTTAATAGCAGTGCTTGGAAGGAAAGTGTGCAGAGTGTGGTCATCTCACCACACCACAGAGGTTCCATCAGTGACCATGGCTTGTGCAATAGATTTTTGGCCAAGCACATTTCCCAGGTTCAACTAACAACATACACCCCAGATTTCGCTTCTTGTGATTTTTTCCTCTTCAAAAATCAAATCACACTTGATAGGAACAAAATTTCAAGATGTTGTGGAAATCCAAGAGAATTCAATGAGGCAGATGCTCACTATCCCTCACAAAAAAAATTTTTCCAAGAATGCTTCCATTGATGGAAATGATGCTTTTTGATCAGACATTATAGATGCATACATACCGACACAAACACACTTATAAAAAATGTGTCCTTTTAAAATTTATATTTAACAAAATATTCCCTATCTATTTAAATAAATACCTGGATTACTGGCTCTACAATCTCATTGGACAGTTTACGACTTGTAGATGGTGCAGCAGTCACAGAAGTGGGAGAGCTAAGGTTGCTAGCAGAAGATCTACAGGTAAAAAAGAAAGACAAATAGATTAATACAAGTAAAATATAACAAAAACACTCTGTAAATTAAAGAGAAAAGTGATTTAATTAACATAAGTAGGTTTTAATATATACCAAATTATGTTAAGCTTTCAACTGTTTTAAACTGAAAAAACGTTTTTGCTACAAAAGCTTTCACTCCTCTTAGGGAAATCCTAAAATATCTATTATTCCACATATTTTTCTGACAACCATCTTAAAGTCAGTTGTAATTAAGACAATGTTTCAGCCATTGCATTTTGAGGTCTTTCTCAAAACAATATCCTGTATCCAGTCTTTAGAATTCACTTACTATTTTATTTCTTTTCAACTGAAGCATACATAACTGCAGTAGTTTAAAAGTCCTACAGACCCAGCATTGTTACTTATCTTGTGACTCATCACTAAGAAAAGACCTTGTGCCTTCTCGTGCGAACATCCTCAGCTGACATGAAGTGGAAAGACTATATTGAATCCACTGCTAGATCAGCTGCTAAAAAAGTTGGTTCACTGTGTCATGCTCAACAATTTTTTTCTGTACAATCTATCTATAAGTCTACCATCCATTCATGCTTAGAATATTGCTGCCACATATGGTCTGGTGTTCCTGCTGTATATCTAAAACTCCTTGATAAAAATCCAAAAGAATCAGCAATATTTTTGATACTGACATTTTAATATCAGTTACTTCCCCACCACTGTAAAGTTGCCTCCCTGTGCATTTTCCATAAATACTTTCATGGTAATTTTTCAGATGAGCTCTTCACTATGGTATCTAGACTTTATGAATTTAAGCACAGTACTAGACTGACAACACAGTCTCATCAATTTACAGTTGAGTTGGCTAGATGTAACTAAGTTCTATGCTAACAGTTTCTCTTCTCACACTTCTCAGTTGTGGAACTTCTTTCCAGCTCTATGCTTTCCAGCCAAACTTTTAATCAAGAATTTAAATGCAATGTCAATCACTGTCTACAATCCTCCTGATCACTGTTCTTTTGTTTTTGCTTCTTAGTAATATTTCTGTTTATTAATTCTTTCACACCCTATAACCCTTTATTTCTTAGTGGCTTTACTACCTTGTTTGGGGTTAAGTCAATTAAAAAAAATAAAATAAGTTAAAAATTGTATGCTCCACAAAAAAAAAAATAAATACTCAAGATGCAATACAATGCACAGAGAAAAACTGAAGAATATTTCAGCCAGAACCGCGTTAATTGCGACAGAAACAATATTCTAATAATATTAATAATAATCATAATGGCAGTATTAGTCATTTCCTTAAAAGGAAACATTTGGTATTCATTGACCACACATTTAATACCACTGTCAGTCAAAATTTATAAAATCTTTCTCTAAAAACAATTTTTCCAGAATATACGTTTCTCAAGTCCTGTAGCTGTTATCACGCTTTCCAGTACTGACCATTTATTTGAAGTAGTGTGAAATGTCAACATCTTTATTATGTCATTTTCTGTGGCTTAAACGTGACATCCATTTTAGCTGTTGCTGCTGTTGAAAGTCCTCAAGTGATGTAGTTCCTGTTATTCAGTAAAATTCTTTGTAATTCTATAGTGCCACTCAATACAGTTCAAAATTAATTTAAAAATGTAAAAAGCATATAAAATGATATTTAATCACAATATAAAGAATAGACAAAAATATTTAATATTATAAAGTACAGGCTGATAAAACGCCACATGACAAGACTGCTTAAAGATAAACTCATTCAAATATGAAATATTGTCACTGGCATAAAATAAAAAAATATCAGGATTTTTCTTCCTTTATTTCAAATATTACTGTTTCTCTACAGTAAAGCAATTTGAAAATGGCATCAAGTTCAATACCAACTGATCTGTAATGAATTTACTTATAAAGCTGTTTTGTCATAGGGTCAAAAACATGTTGACAAAACAAATTATGATGCTACAGGAAAAAAGCAGAAGAAGCAACATTAACAGAATCCAGGTGACAGGAATATGAAGGAGAAAAACAGAAGGAAGAGGAGGAGGAAGAGGGATGTTGCTTACACTGAGGTACTGGGGTTGCCAATGCTCGGGGCAGAAACAGTCTGTATTATCCCTGAATCTACTGTGCACACCTGTTGGTTGATGCCCAACGTGGCCCTAATAATGAACAGCAATGGAAACAAATAAATAAATTTAGTATCTACAACACAAATAATAGAATTAAAACAGTCCTACTTTATTGCTTACACTTTTATTGTCCCTTCAAAAACAAATGACAATTGAAATTTGGCATACTCATCGTCCTTTCAAGTTCACAGAAAATAAAAAATACAAAATTATCAAAAGTAAGAGTGGAAGAAAAAATATCTTTGTAGTGTACAAAGAACTCAAATAGAAATATGGCTTCATTCTAAGGTCATTTTCTCTTGGCATTTTTTTCCTAATTCTTTCTAGAAAGAACAGATGTAATATGAACTTGTTTAAAAAAAAAAAAAAAAAAAAACACACACACAAGTAACAATACCTGTACCATACAGAGTGTAATCAACTTGTAGATGGTGTGACTTAATGACTTGTTTAATTATTTACTTGGATTTACAACCAGCTATAAATTCTCAAAATATATATTTTTTAAATATAACAAGTCAATGCTGTACAAAAACTTTGAGCAGGATTAATTTTGAAAGCAAAAATAATCAAAATAAAGTGAAAAATAAGATTTACTTATATATATATAAAAAATCATTTAGAAATAAATTATGACTGTTAAAAATGGTGCAAAAGTGACATTAAAGCCATTTGAAGCTGGTTGGTACAAACCCATTACACACACATATATCTGAAATAGCAGTCAAGTCTAGCTTAGCAATCAGTTCATTTAGTAACCAGGTCAATGGAACAGAACCCGGACATTATGTGTGGAATGGAGGAATTTACTTGTGTACAGTGCACACAAATTAGAAATAAAATCTGAAAGAATGAAATAAAATTTATTAGTTTACATTTTTGAAAAGCCATTTTAAATAGTCTTGTGATATTTTTGGTCATTCAGTCAGATTTTGACTAGAATCTTCCAGCAACTCCCAGTATATTCAATTCATTTCAAACAATTTTCCACAAATTACAATGTCCTGAAGAAGACATTTTTAAGTGGTACAAGTTATAACTAAGTGGCTTTAAGCTGAAAAATATATTTAAAACAAGGCTGCTTGACATTCTGGCTATTGTCAACCTTGCCAAGACACTAAATTGGAATGGTTCTTCAAAGTTTGAAAAATAAAAATTTCTACAATTACATTACAATTTATTCCAAATCATATAACAATTTAGTCTTAAATTTATATTAGTCAGCTTTAGTTACTAAAAAAAGTAAGGTGTGGGTAGTGGGTAAAAATCAAACACATGAGTGTATTAAGAAAAAAATCCCCAAATATTCAGTTCAATTCAGTAGTGGGCCTGTGCAAAGAATGTAAATTGATGTATTTAAAATAAATTTGCATGAAAATATTCTTGAAAACTGTGTGCAACCTTTTACAGTACCTGAATTAATAGTTATTTATTGTATGGTTCACAAATGTTGAAGTTAAAATGAGTAGACTACTATTTAGAAAGTTATATATACTATGTCAGATTTTATGCAAGTGAATGTTAATAAAAATTTTCAAAATATATTTACATAAATAAGCCTACCATGTGAATTAACTTTTTTTTGCCAATATGATTTTTTTTATCATGTAACTCAAGCATTGGCAAAAGGGACGGAAAAAAAAGAGCTGCAAAATAAAAAGGGTAATAAGCAAGAAAATTGAATAGAACAGCAAAAAAATATTTGAAAAGTTGCAGAATATTAAGAATATTGGCTAAAGACATGTAGCAAGCAAACTATCTGCTTTCAGTAAGCATCACCAAAAGAAATATTTAAGTTTGGTAAAGGAAGGCCTAAAAGTAATTTATTTCTCAATAATGAATATAGGTAGAACAAAATTCAATGAATCTGACAGCTGGGCTAGAAGTTCAATGTTTTATGGAAATTATTAGCCAACACAACTTTAAAGACAAGCAGAGATGAATTAATGCTTTGGACTTTTATTGTAGACAGTAAAGTGATAGGTTCCTTCAGAGTTGCTGATGGCTCAAGGCAAATGCAGTGAATTTTTATCAGTTCTTGAAGAAGAAATTTTTTGAGTGGTACAAGTTATAACCAAGTGACTTTAAACCGAAAAATATATTTAAAACAAGGCTCCTTGACATTCTAGCTATTGCCAACCTTGCCAAGACACTAAATTGGAATGGTTCCCAACTTCTCCATATATTAACCCAATAAAAGGGTAAAAGACTGAATAATTACAGAATGTCAAGGGGCGCAGATTAACATGTAAAACAGAATAATTTCAGGTGTATGGGATGGTTAATAAAATGTTTTCTGGTCTATAACTTTGAGGTTTATTTGTAAATTAAAATTCATGTTGCATTTTGTTTACATAATAAAACATAACACCTCCCCCACAATAAAAAATGAATAAAAAATTTAAAAATCAGTTAACATCAATTTTATTGTGAAAATAATGACTTACATGAAATACATTATGAAATCTGATCATGCACAAAATACTAGCAACATAAAAAACTTATTGGTGATAGGTAAAATTCAGAAATAAACACAAAAAAATATTTTTTCTTAGAAAATATGTTCATGTATATGGGAAATTTTCATGATTTTAACAAAATCAGAATTTAAAAAAATTTAAGTCATTTTTAAAATAAGTTAACCAAAAAACTCTTTGCCGTTTTTTTTACATTGTGTGGGAAGAAATGATCACTGAAACAAACAAGTGCATCACATAAAGGGAAAGCAGTGGGGGTGCTGGCATTGCTCTTGACTAATGCAGGTGCATTGTGTGCACACACACACACACACATATCAGTCACAGCTGAAGCAGTGGCAAGGAAACATGGTGGTGTCAAAGCAGCTCATACAGGGTTGTTTGCTTTATAAGGTGGACAATAGCCAAACTTGTGGTGAGCTTGCCAAATGCTTTTAGGTTTCTGATGAAACAGCCAGACTTCACCTGTCCTTACATAGGGAAGGCATACAAGTTCAGCAAGTGGTCATCCCATACACTGTTCGAAGCAGACAAGCAACAACGAGTGACAGCCTGTTTCTTATTGCTTTCTCAACATCACAATGTAGCCATATTTAATAAAGTGCTCACCAAGCATGTCAGTCACTATGGAATCCCATGTCCCAAACCACAAGACCACCTCTACACTCATGCAAGACCATGCTCTGTATCTGGTGGACTAGGCAACAAGTGGTGCACTATTATTATTATTAATGGTGCAGGTGGCCAGGGATACCATAGATACTGTGCCATCCACCTTACTCCCCAGACTAACAGATTACTACCTCTTCCACTCCCTGGACAACCACTTTCATGGGAAACCTTTTGCCAATAAGAGAGACTTGCAGCAGGCACCCACAGATTTCTTTGCATCCAAGACACCTGATTTTTAATGCCAGGGCATGGTGCAGCTGAAGGCCCATTGCTTCTGGATGATAATGGGGATTACTTTGAGGACTAACAGTAAATTTGCTTTTTTTTTTCTAATAAATCAAAACCAGCAAGGACTTTTTGGTTACCTTGTATACAATATTCAAAATCTTTTTTGTAAAGCCACATTCAGCTATATTACTAAATGTAGCAAAAAAATCAATTACTAAAACAGAGATTAAAATAGTTGTTTTGGAATGAGTTGGTAATTAAAATGTTAATAAAAAACAAAAAGTTACAAAAAGTGTTGACCTTAATACCAGTAACAAAATACAATTAACATGACATGCTGAATCTTTTTTAAAAATCCAAATTCCTTTAAAATCTGCAAATTAATTTATTTTAAATACTACTAAACAAAATAGATACTAACTTGACAACATTATATATCAGATATATGAAAACACAAACTAGACACAAAAGATGTTTTCCACAATCTTGATTTTTAAATTAGTTATATATATATATATATATATATATATATATATATATATATATGTATGTATGTAGGTCCCAAAATTGTTTTGTACTTTAAGCAATTTGATTAATTTAGCTGAATTACCCACACCTTACTGCATATTACACATTTTTAAGATTATGACGATTGATTTAAAATCATTGTTATAATTTGTAGAGAAAAATGATGCATTTCAATATTATTCAATGATCTTGCCAATGTGGCCTCCATATTCTGGCTTTCCTATTTTGGATAGGAGTCATTCATTTGTTCAAATTTAAATTTAATTTAAATCAAAGGGACAAAAAAATTAAGTAGGAGGATTTGTGTCCCCCTGGGGACACCTTATGATCAAAATGATTTTGCCAATCTTCCATCTTCTGCCTTTCTCTTTCTAGATTTTTGTTTTGAAATTGTTATGATGTTGATTTGGGGTTAGTAGAGACAAACGCCAAATAACACGTAACAATAAAAAGGGTTTTAATAGGTTGGTAAAAAGGTACAGAAATCGCCTGAGTAGTCAATAACTAGCTCAGCTAAGAACTTCTGTGTCTACCTGTCCTCCCCATGTCAACTGACATGCCACTATTTAAAGTCTTTGTTCACAGACGCAGACAAGTTCATCTTCAAGAGGGGTGGTAGGTTTCCGACACAACAGAAATAGATGCCTCATTTTTTATTTATTAAACAATGTGTATTATGCACATTGGAGAAATCTTAATAAGGAAAAGCATTTCACACCCTGGATCAAAATGAACCAACATAGTTTCAAATACAGAGTATCCACTACAATAATGTTTGAAGTAATAAAAATGTCAGATTAAAAATAAACCTATTAATTCTTTAAAATATATAAAATTAACCGACACTAATTAATTAGCACACTGTAAGTGACTATTTTCACCAAGCGAAATGTTAGTCCTGACAATTTCTTGTTTGTGTAGTCATATCCTTCTATGGCAACACCTAAAACAATCTTAACAGATCTATCCACTACCCTTCTCCTCATCCTTTCTTCTATCACTCCTATCTGTTCCTGCTCCAAATTTTCTGTAACCCCTTGCATCCTAGTGGCTTCTCGCCTTGCTTGGGGTGAAACGCTTAAAAAAAAAAAACCAAAAAAAACAAAACACTGAGAGGCAGGCTACTGTAATTTCAAACATATAGAACTAATATATAAAACACTATATATTGATGGGATTCCATATACAGGAATAAATATTTATAAATTATGCAGAGTGTTAAATGTTAATTATAATAGGCAGCAAGAGGTTTGAATAGCTAATGACTTACCTCACTTCTGAAAGTGAACTGCTATTGGACAGGTTACTGAAAGAGGCATCTGGGCTTAAGGCAAAACTGTTGATTTGTGCATTGATAATCTGCTCCAATGGAATCTACAAGAATCAGAAAGACTTAAAATAGCAAACATACATATTGAAATTGTATAAAGTGTGTGTGTGTGTGTGTATATATATATATATATATATATATATATACACGCACACACAATAGAATATTAACAGAATGACTGCTTTTAGATGTCAACAATTCATTAGTTAATTGAGAATCTTAAGATTCCAAAACAGAAACCTACATAGATTTGTTCCAATGAAGCAGCTAAATAAAATTCTTAAATAACTGACAAAAGCTTTTATACATTTTTGATCCTTCAAGAACATGAAAAACAAGAGGGAGATTACAAAAAAAAAAAAAAAAAAAAAAAAAAAAATACCTACCTCTCCGCCATTCTCAGGGTTGTTCATCTCTGTAAAATATTCTTTTTTATCCGCAACCCTCCGAAAGGGTATCTGCAAAAAATGGTTGTTTTTAATTTTTTCTTTTTAGAATATATTATGAAAATGCAAATATTTATAAGTGCTATATAATTTCAGAAATATCTACTAAATAAAAATTTGTGTAGATGTCCATATATGAAGATGGCCAAATTTCTTTCCTACTGGACGATTTCAACTGTTGGGTTGGTGATGAGCAAATGAAAAGAAAATGGTGGGCAATTGCAAATTTTCGTGTGCATTATAGGATTTTGAATATTAAAAAGGCATTTCAATGCTACCCAAAAAAAAATATTCAAAGGAGATAAGCAAAGAACCTGCATAAAAAAAAAAAAAAAAAAAAAAAAAAAAAAAAAAATCAAAAAAAAAAAAAAAAATCAGGAAGCTAAATAGGAATAGCAGGATCACATTCCTACAAAAAGATAAAAATATCCTTGTAAACAAGAAATATTTCAGTATTTTCTATAAAGGCCATTAACATTTAAATAGTTCTCCAGTATTAGACATAAAAATAAATTGTTTCATTTTTTTTGTCTACAATTGCAACACCAAACTTAAATATATATATATAGATAGATAGATAGATCTCTCTCTCTCTCTCTATCTAACTCCTGATTATTAATACATTTTCTGTTATTAAAATCACATCGTGGAGCAAATTATGTGGAGAGGCAGCCTGTTAACAGGTTGAGGTACCTGGCAGAACAGATCTGATGTTGCAATACCCAAAATCCATAATGAAGCCTGACCTCATACCTTTACATTTTATAAAAATATATATATATATATATATATATATATATATATATATATATATATAAAAACCAGTAACAAATTTTATCAAACAATTTTAGTCTGCTTCTAAATATTTACTATTCATGTGGGCTATGGAAAATTTTTTCATGTAAAAATGGGCAATGTCACTGAAGAGTCTGAGAAACCCTGCTCTAAAGGAAAAACTACCAAATTAACAGCAAAATTTAAATTATCACTATACAAAAGAAAATATATTTAAAAGCCTTTACAGATTTATGACTTATATTATTGGTCTTAATTTTTTTTTTTTACTCGAAATTTGAATGTAAATCAATTGAAAGTAATGGAAATTTTTTTTCTGATTATTATACATACTTGAGCATAGTGCGAGTTTTTATGATCAGTTTTTTTTTTTTAATGCAAAAAATAAGGCGGGGTGGGGGTCATACTATACACAGGTAATTTTTTTTTTCAAGAGATTAAAAATCATGATTTTTCAGTGACCGGTTACAGCATACACAGATAATTTTCTTTTTCTGGAGGGGTTAAAATTCCTGCAAAAAAATTAATGGATCACACTAAACATGAAGTCGGCTTACACACACACACATATATATATATATATATATATATATGGTATACTATACCCTCCAATAAAAAATCAATCATGTTATTGTTTTTGTTTTTTTTATTCATTCTAAACTCAAATTTGGACAAAAAAAAAAAAAAATTTTCATTAAGCCAATATACATAAAAAGATAAAATAGTGAAAAATATGTAGTAACTGTGCAAATTTACTAGGCAAAGAAAATTCTTGAAAATTTATAGAAATCTAGAAAGATCCAAAGAAAGATTGGCATATTGTTTGCAAAATGATGCATTTATTTTAATTTGTTAATAAATAATAAATTTTGGACCATAAGCACCAGAGTTAAAGCTAAAAAATATAGATTGCTCAATGATCTAATATTTTCTAATTGGGAAATTCAGATGAGAATTTTGCTATAAAAAAGTTTGTATAAAATCCAACAAATGCACATTTATTTCTACAAAGTAGTCCTATAATAGCAATACAAACCAGAGGGCTGTGTAGCTTGTGGTTTTAAATTATACTAGGGTAAGGTTAAAAACCAAATCAGCTTGGAATTTTGGGATAAAATAAAGAATATTGATAATTAAGAAAATCTATAATGTAAAAGGTAAAAAAAAAAAAAAAAAACAGACTCCAGTAAAATGCTATTTTCTTCAAAAACTTGTGTTAAGTCAGCATTTATATACCATATACATTAAATAGAAAATATTTAAACCATATCAATTTGAATCAGACAGCATGAATTGTTTTTTGAACAAATGACAGCAATATTATTTAACAAAATAAGCAAGTATTAGACAAAGTCACTATGTTCAGCAGAATATCAGGTTATTTAAAAACATAACAGCGGCAGCAATCACTGCCTGCTTCTTCATGAAAGCTGTTAGCATTCTAGGAATGGACATTTTAAGATATTGTGTACTGAACAAAAAGATCACTGATGCTTTTGGCACCACTGATGAGGTTATACTTCTGCAAACATGGTAAACAAAAAAAAAATTGAGTACTGCCTTGATATGCTTTGTGCAACTAAATGGTGCCCATATAGTGGTGTATTAAATTAATTAAAAAGATTTCAATATCTACTCCTCATTTTGTAACAATTTCCACGTATTTGCCTGTTCATTTGCTTTTGTAATAATTTTTTTAAATTGTAAAGAGGCTTTATGAACACCATATATATATATAATTTTCAGATAGAGTATCTGTAAAGGGAAAAATGAATAAAAAGACAAGAGGAAAAACTATTCTTAGTCAATATATTTCATCATCTAGGGGAGTTTATCAAGGCAAAGGTAAGGATTTATTTTTTGTACATGTTTATATACAAGAACAAGGATTGGTTTATCAAGGTTTTTAAATTTGAGAACATTCATGAATATTGATCAGGTGATTGATAGGTCAGTCAAAACATGTGGCGGACACAAAGTGCCAGGATTCAAAGTCTGGTAAGACAAATGTAAAGAGTAATAGTAAAGAATTTTTTTTTAATAAATGAATACTTTTATATATATATATATATATATATATATATATATATATATATATATATATATATATATGAGAGAGATAACCAATTCTCATTAATACTTTTATAATTAGAACAGGCAATTTTTTATGATATCGATTCTCATTGTTAAAATTTATAATAAACACAATTTTTTTTTTCACTACAGATTAGTTTATGGAAGAATTAAATTCAGAATTATTTTAATGATTTATGGGATAATTTTCTATTTATCATAACTACAAAAATTTTGTAAAGTTGGAAGAAATTGATTAGTAAAAGTCTTAAGGAGCTATAAATGAAAGAATCTAAAAATAAAACAAAAACTATAGATATACATAAACTTGGGTGTCAATTTTCACTTGTGTACTACGAGAGACCATGAAGCTCACTTTTTTTTTTTAGGGTAGCTAGTATTTTACAAGCCAATAATTAGAAACCAACTTCAAGATAGTTAAATATTAAACAGAACATTGCTCAAATCCCCACACATCTGCACCATACAATCCTAAGAAATGTAGATTCTCATATAACTATCACAACTAAAATGAACACCAAACAATTTAATGAAATTTAATACAGAGAAATGCTACAATTGCGTCAAGAATGCATAAATAGATAAATAAAGTCACTGGGTAATTCATTTCCAATGTAAAGGAACACTTTATACACTATTCTAGAATCAACTTAACCAATACAGAAAGTCAGTGAGATAAAACAGCAGGGAAAATAAAATAACTGCTAAACAAGAATCATTGTCCCAGAATTAAATGCTCAATCTAAAATAAGGGATTTAGAGAGGCTAGTTGTTAGTAGTGGGAGTTCACCATAATACTTTACAAGTTGGATTAATCACAGGTCATGTTGGAAATTCAAAAAATTTATAGCCTTTGCTTAAGACTCCAATATTTTCAGCATTTTGTTTAGTAAGTGAAGTTAAGCAAAGTATTATAAGGATCAAGTCACACCTCAAGCAAAGTCAGTGAATGTTCAAGAAAGTGGAACATTACTCATTTGTGTTGTGCAAAACAGATATTGAACTCATTCTAATAGATATAAATATAGATAATTGCTTCTCAAACAGATGTTACATTCTTCTATCCTAAGTCACAGGCCCACAAATGAAAATCCATAGGAGGAGGGAAAAAAAAAAAAAAAAAAAAAAAAAACACAATATGGAAACCCAAAATCCAAATTTCTCGTCCTGCATGTGAAGTTATTTGATCATCAGATAAAGTTCAACTATGTCAACTTGAGCATTTCTATGTAACATCTACCATGTTTGCTGGAACCCAAAGAATAAAAAAAAAAAGATCAGCAAACACATTGTTGTTTAATCTTGAATAATGATTTAAAATAATGAAGGGGGACAATTAAAAAAACTAGAGAAAATAAAATTAAAAAATAATTTTTTTAAAAATTCAAAATTAATTAACAATGACATATATTTCAAATTTGGCTGCTACTGTTCCATTAACAAAATTTAAAAAAAAAAAAAAAAAAAAAAATAGCCTTTCCGACCTAAAAATGCTGTATAATGTAGAGACTAGTCAAAATCAGCCCAAGCATTTATTTAAACAGTAGTAAAAGGGAACATTTTAATCAGTTTTTATATAGTAAAGATATTTAACTTCTAACAGCACTAAGGCCTTACCAATTTACAAATGAATATTAATATAGAAGCACAGTTTAAACCTAAAAGAAAAATACAAATAAATATACACTTAAAATGAAAAAGTTCTAACAGTTTTTACACTGTTCAAGAAGCATTTGAGATAAAAATGAAGGTATTGCTAATAAGTCATAACAATTTTATTTTTTATTACCCACCACCCAAAAAAACATGAAAAATAGCTGCCTAATCTTATATTTAACCTTTAGCATACTGCATTATTAATATTACTTCCCTTTTCACTGCATTCTTTTTCAAGGCTTCTCAATTGCAGTAACCTTGTTGTTAATTTCACTCAAAGTTGTTTTCTGTTGCTATAGCAGGATATGACAATACATCTATGAAATTCAAACATACTATTGTTCAAGGATCAGTCACCTTCAGTGGAAGGATAAACTTTTTGTACTGCAAATGAAGTCATGTACAGAGTGATAAAGGTTAATTATTTCAAACTATTGTTCTCATCTTTATTGTTATAACGTTTCAACCCAGTAACCTCTGGCCATCATCAGGTGCACATTGCTTGGTTTATGTGGGATATATGTTGATTATTTAGTTATTTTTCCTTGTTATTGATATTTTTGCTTAACTAGTGTTTGCAAGAATTAAACTCATGATAAAATTTAAACATTTCTGCACTGTGGAAGAACAAAACCATTTTTAGGCAAAGTCAAATATGAACAGATAAATGCAATGAAAACTGAATATATATATATATATATATATATATATATATAAACCTTGAATAGTTCAACTTGCAGTAGAACAAATTGGTACTTGAGGAAAAATGGGAAATAAAAAAGAAAGAACCAAGAACATTAAAACAAGGCGAAAACAATCAAGTGTTTAAGCTCCAAGTCCAAGACCTGAAGACCCATTTAGTTGAAACCTAGGTAGGTTTGCCTGGCTCCTTAGGATTACTTTAGGTTGTGTGTGTGTGTATATATATATATATATATACACACACACACACATATATACATATTATAGATAGAGAAGCATAGAAGTGCAACATCTACATTTTAACATAATAAAGAAAACTATGAAAACAGGCTTACCTCTGTAAGTACTGTACATTCATATGAAGGCTGGTATTTTTCCTAGAAGGAAGTAGAAAAGCATAAAGATGAAAAAATAAACTTAATGTTAAAATAAAAATAAATAAATGCAAACTTTAATAACATGTAAAACAAGTTAATTAAAACTGATAGACTAAGTACCATATTTGATGGTATATAACAGGGGTGGCCAAAGCACAGCTAACGAGCCACATGCATTTCTGAGCTTTAATATGCAACTTGTGGAAATATGTTGGTTGAGTTCCTTTTTTCATCACAGTTAATATAAAAGGTAAATAAGAAAATTCCAAGCATTATAATTATTTGCTGGATATGAACTGAGACCCCATTGGATTCAAACCCAAGTTTAATGTTCATGGTTAATAAAAATATTTAAGAATTGAAATCTTAATTTTAATGCTAGATCTGAGTGAGGCATTGTTCTTTAGTGTTGAGGGAAGGAATGGTGGGATGCAGGGGGATTAAAGAAATTTCCAATCAGCAAAGGTTACAGAGGAATGTCAGAGTTCATTGGTAAGGGGATTAAGGGAAACACTCATGTCATGTACATATATAATTTTATGTTACAGAAATGCAAATTTGCACATTTTTCTTAGAAGTTCCTGTAGTTCATTAACATAGTAAATAGACTCAATATAATTAAAACGATTATCAGTCAAGACTTTGAAAACATTTGATATATATACTTTGTGATTACTGAAACCAATACAAATTAACAGTTTAAAAAATGGCATACATCAATATTATTGCATACATGCATTTCTTAATATTTATATAAAAATTTTGTAAAATGTGTATGCAACAAAAATGTATGGGTAAATTTTGTTCTTGCGGCTCTCAAATCTCTGAACTTTATCATATGTGGCAATTACATTAAGTTTGGCCACCCTTGGTATATAAGTACAGACTGTGCTATCCTCACTCATTACATTTAATATTATAGCACTAGCATATCTGAAAAAAAAAAAAAAAAAAAAAGAAGAAACAGGATTATTAATGTATGAATCAGCATAGTATACAGGATGTGAACAAATCTGATCAACATGCTTCTTTAGTTGATTTGATCCTTAACCCCCCTCCTAGTGCTTGTCAAGCATCAGAATTCTATCCTATTGGCAATTCGGACCACACAGAACTTCTTTTGCCTCATATATTACAGAGGAACCTCCTATTCACAAGAATATTCTGCATTTCAAGACTTTCTTCAAGATGCCCCTTCAATTGAGATTCTTAACCTTCCTATTAAGAATTGTGCCACAGAGATTTCTTCTTAAAGTCAGCATCAATGCTTTTGTTCCTTAAACTCATTGCGTCTTCTTGCATGAACATTTCCAATGAATTGGAATGATTATATCAAATCAATTAATGCTCGGAAGGTTGGTTCTCCATGTTGTGCGAGACAATTTTTCTCACCTGAACCTATCTCACATATTTACAAGTCTACCATTCATCAATGCTTAGAATATTGCTGCCACATATGGTCTGGAGCTCCTGTTACATATTCAGTGATCCTTGATAAAATCCAAAGAAGAATCCACATTGTTATTAATTATGACCTGGGATCTTGGATTCAGTCACTTTCACATTGTCATAATGTACCTTCCCTGTGCCTTTTCTATAAATAATTTCATGGTAATTGTTCTGATGAATTTTCCTCTATGGTAACTAAACATTATGAATTTAAGCAAAATACTAGATTGGTGCCAAGGTCTCATCAACTTATAGTTGAAATGGATAGATGTAACCGTAACTTCTATGCTAACAGTTTCTTCTATCACAGTTCTCACTTGTGGAACTCTTTTCCAGCTTCTTGCTTTCCAGTCAAGTTTGATCTTCAAAAATTTAAATCCAATGCCAATCATTATCTTCCCTTTTCTTAATTCCTGTTCTTTTTTCCTTAATTTTTTTCTTATATTCTTTCACACTCAGTAACCCTTAGTGTTTTAGTGGCTTTATTCCCTTGCTTTGGGTGAAATGTAAAATAAAAAAAATTACATTTTCAGTTGAAAATTAAGCAGGATCTTCATTCTAGTTTTCTTGTTCAAAGACTACCATCACAGTGACAATTCTTGTGATTAAAAAACAAAACTTGTTAATAAATAAAAAAAATTAGGTAGTGGGTATTAATGGATTATTGGTAGAAACCTATAATACTAGTTTGTTTTTTTTTTATTTTATTTTATAAACCTATAATAATAAATTCCAGACATTTAATTTTTATAACCAATTTCATGATGGGTATTAATGAGTCAAAGTTAGATTTTACTTTAAATACGTTAAAGAAGGAATCATTTTAAAAAAATGTTTACAAAAATTATTTTTCTCTTTCCTTTCCAAAAAAAAAAAAAAAATCATAAAAACAGGAAAGTTCATAGACTTTTTAAAATTTGGATACCTTAGATAAAATTTTTTTAATTCCACCTATTAACATTTAGTCAATCTTCAAAATATTTATATTAAAAGAGTCTTCTAGAAAATTCCAACAGAAAAGTTATTTTTAACCAGACCATAGAAACGCTTTGAGACTTTGGTTCATCATGCCCTAATGATTTGTTCAAAGACAATAATAAATTCTGGAATTATGGAAGTTTTGTGATAATAGTTACCCAGTTGATGTTGTACAATCTAACATTCATGCAAAGATCACACAATTTCAAAAAGCTAAATTTAAATTGTTTATTAAACAAATCTCTGCAACATCTGTCTACATCTCTGAGATGTGGTGTTGTAATTATTTACACTATTTACATTGTTGTCCTCATCTTTAGTGTCATATTCACAAGGTTTCAGCTGTTGTACACTCCAGCCTTCTTCAGGTGATATACGTTGGAATTTCGAACCAAACCCTTTATTTAGTCCATGGGGGTAGATTATTCTAGTTCTACGTGCCGTGCCTTTTCTGGATAGTTTCAGTTAATTCCCTTTAGTAACTCTCCAATTTTTGTTCATGTCTACCAAGTATTGAACTCACAACTCTTTGAGTCAAGTCACTTCAATCAATGCTTTTATTCACTGAGCCATGTGTCCTTGGGGACACAATCAACCCGCATGGGCTAAAAGGGTTGGGTTCAAAATTTCAACATATATCACCTGAAGAAGGCCAAAGCATACAATGGCCGAAATGCTGTGAATATGTCAAAGATGAGGACAACAGTTCAAATGATGTAAATAGTGTAAACAAATCACTGTAAATGTAAGAAATGGTTATCTGGCTGCAAATCCATGTATTGCCTTCTCCACCCAACCAATGATAATATCGGCCTCTTTGTTCTGCTTTCTCATTATATTAGTATGATTATTTGCCATTTTAAATGTCAATGTGGCACTATATATATATATATATATATATATATATATATATATATATATATATAAAAATGTACTGTCTATATATGTATAACTATTCAGAGGTTGGAGATTGATTTGTTTTTTTACGGCTTATCAACATTTTTCAGGTTATTTAAAGCCAGAAAGTATTTTTAAGATTTTTTTTTAATATAATAATGTTAAATTCTTAGTTGGGGGTAGAAGAGGTGGATTTCCAAGGGTATTTGCATATATGCGAATATAACAAATCTCAATGGGTCTCCATTTAACAATTCTGAGCCATTACACCACCCAAGCATCCCAGTTTACAGCACCTGGTATTCCCAAGTAGTCACCCATTATTTTTAACTTGTAAGTTTTTTGGGTTTTTTTTTTTTTGAGATAATAGTGATTTATTGATACAAGTCCTACTAATTAACCTATAGATAGAGGAGTGGGGAGAAGAGATGTATTCATACTTTTCTCAAGGGTATTTGAACACACATGAATATAACAAACCCAACTGAAATTGGTACTCAGCTCTCTGACATTCAATTTCAAGCCATTCTCCATTACACTACCCAGGCATCCCAGCTTACAGCACCTGGTATTCCCAAGTGGTCACTTATCTAGGTGCTGACCAGACTTGACATTGCTTGTACAAGAACCAATGTTTCAACATGATATGGCTGAAAGTCTAGAGAATAGAATTAATTAACACGTGCAAGCTTGTCTTTGGAAAGGGTCAATTCTATAATTTGCATATAGACTCATAAAGACTTTGGTTCGTCTTGCCCTACAGAGAAACATTTGTGCAAGATTGTGATCTATGTTTACATTTTTAAAATGTCTGTATCCTTACGTGATTTTAAAACTAGATGGGTGATATATGCTCATAATTTAAAATTCTAAAAATCTACTAAAATTCAACTACCATATATTTCCATGTATAAGACAACTTTTATTTCCCCAATATCACACTTAAAAATTAGGGGTCACCTTATAATACAATTCTAAAAAAGAAACCTTAAATTCTGAGTGATGTTTGTCAATAGGCTAACCTCAGCTTCGGTGCAATAACCAATAACATACATGAAAAGATTCATATTATCAAATAAGCTGATTTGAAAAGTAATAAAACCATTTCTACTTTAAATATCACTGGCATAACTTCATAATAAATTGCCTATTCAATGAAATCAACTTGTATCAATGCAAGGTTAGCTGAGAAAATGTAAACATTGAGTTATGATTACATTCACAGCAATGGAATGTACTATTATTTTACATTATCATACTGTTAATAGCGGTATTTTGTGATTGTCGAAGTATACGTAAATGGCCATTAGTACACCAGGCTGTTTGTAACTGTTTAGATATAGGAAAAGGAGAGGAAGAAAGAGAATAATCAGTATTCTCAAGAGGTCATATTTCATTATCAAGAAGTTCATAAGGATTTTTATACAATTCTCAAAGTTATGAAAATAATGTTTTTAGTGGCTACATGCAAATGAGGTGCTATACCTGTTTTTTTTGGTTTTTTTATTTTCTTAAACAGTGAAATTAATAACAACTGGCCTAGATTGAGAAGTCCTACTAAAGAAAAATGTGCCTCCCAACAAGAATCAAACCTGTATTCATTTTGGCTATCAGGGTAACTGTTTCTATAATTGAAACAGTGTCACTGCCAGTTTGGCCACAAGAGACCATCTTGATAGAGCAAAGTTTGAATTACCTATTTATAGCTAATTGCTGGAACCGCTAAGATTATATATATATATATATATATATATATATATATATATATATGTATGTGTGTGTGTGTGTGTGTGTGGGTGGGAAGCATATTAGAATAATCCATAACTTATACTGGGAGAAAAATACCTACAAGTAACACTTCAACATGTGAATTACAAATTGGAGATACCAAAATGAAGCAAGTACAAAAATTTAAATATCTAGGAAATGTTTTAACAGAGGACAGAGAATGCTACACCAAAATCCAAAGATGCATTGGAATAGTGAAAGATATCTTACAAAAACATACAAAGTATTAATAAATAGGAAAATTTCATTAGAAACAAAGAAAAGAATACAGAGCCATTACATAATATCAGTCCTCCTTAGAGCAGTGAACACTGAACCATCTCATTACAGATGAACAAGAGACTTGAGGAAACAGAAATGTGATTCTACAGAAAAAGAGACAGAGGAAAGCATCACATAACCTACCTAACAAGATTGTATAAATTCTAAGTAGTATAGGGATTAGGAGATAGAGCAAAAAGACAAACCTTATTGAGAGTTACAAAAAGACAAGAAAATGTGGAGAGCCATAATCACCTGCATCATGAAAAACACGCCACATAGAAGAATATAATAACTATGATTCAACAGAAAATTAAAATACAAAAGCTAGAATTTTCATGAGTACTGCTAATAAGGATTAATTTCCATTTATTTCCTCTGATAGAAACTAAATACTTTCTTGCAAAAAAAAAAAAAAAAAAAAAAAAAAAAAAGAGAAATGGAAAAAAGCTCACCTTTTCTGCTTCAGATCTTTTTTCCATTTTCTCACGGTCAGTTTTATGTTTTCTGTCAGCACCTTTTGGCTGTTAAGAACAAACAAATGATTTGGCATTAAAACAGTAAATAAACAGTAAATTAAAAACAATATATTAGTATGAATGAAAGCAAATCACACAAAATGATGAATGCCAAACATTCATACTTATCTTTCATTCATTTTATGAAAGTACATCAATAAGTACCCAGCCTCATAATGAAAAATAGAATTTTACACAAATATTTTTCAACAATCTCCTTCCTTGTTAATGCCTTTCAAAGTTGAATATTTATCATACAAATCTAACATAAAACAATGAAAATTTCAGATTAAAAATTCAGGTAATGATTATATTTCAGGCTACAGTTTCATTTATGCACCTTCATTTTTACAAACTAATAACCAAAGAAATATGAATAATTAAAATAATTTATTCAAAGAAAATTCTGAAATCAGTGACATTTAATTTTCTGGCATTTCTATAGAAATAATCTCCAAGAAACAATCTTTTTTTTCATATCAATATCAAATAAGTAATCCAGATCACGAATAACATTTTTCTTTTTTTTTGGTTTTTTAATTTTCTATATTTTAAGAGAGGGTTTCAGTTTATTGTGTAAAATAAAGAATTTTAAAAAAATGTTTTCAAAATTAAAAAATGCTCAAATGTGATAAAGCACATTTATAAAACTTTAGATAATTTAAAGATAAAATAAAACACTTTATATTTATATTATTTAAAATATCCTTACTTAGCTTTTTCTAGTCTTCAGTTAAAATAATGCTTACATATAAAAAATACAAATAATTTTTAAAAAGCCACAAAACTTTATTGTTATTATTTTCCTTACATTTAATTTTGGGGGCTTGGTTAGGGAGAAGGGATTAATTTACAATGAATTTACATAGCAAACTGAACCCTTTTCTCAAAATTTAGAAAATGAAAAAAAGTTGTTTTTCTTTTTATATGCATGATTTGGAAAGCTTATCCAATGATAATGGTAATGATATTAGCTGTTTCCCTACAAGGAAACATTTGGCATTCATTGACCAAGCAGCCAGTACTGATGTTGGTTGAAATTTATAAAATCTTTCTCTTAAAATAATTTTTCAGGAAAAAAGTTTCTAAAGTCCAATAGATGTTATCACTTTTTCCAGTAATAATGGCAGAGGTGTTCCTTCCTTAACTTATTTATAGTGTGCAATATTAGCATCTTTATTATGTCATTATTTTCTCTTCCGGTTACATGTGATATCCATTTTAATTGCTGCTCTTATTGATAGTCTTCAAGTGTTTTCTGTTATTGTTTTATGTTCTTTCTTTGCGATTTTGCAGCGTCAGTTCTCAATGTTCAAAGCAGGATGATCTTTGCCAAGACCCTCAAGTTTCACTCACCTCAAAACCTTTTTCCACCCTTGATCTTAGGAATCAGTTGTATACAGCTGAGAATTTAGATATTTCTGAAAGGGTTTGACGCCCGATGCATAACATCCACATGAAAGTCTCGATCTGACAAGGTTATTTAAGAACATGACACGAGTTTTCAGGTTAATGTTTTGGTTTTGCATCAATTTGCAGCTTTGTATATCTGGCTAATGTTTGTCATACAAATGTTTTGTATATCTGGCTAATGTTTGTCATACAATACTTATAACAGCTACGTATATCACAATAATACTCTGATGCTATTTCGAAGTTATGTTAAATTATTCAAATTAAAAGTTAATTCTAATTTTATTCAACTTCATTTTCATGATCAGTGAATTATTAGTCCCACAACTCCCAAAACAAATACACTATAGCTATTTAAACTAATTACAATAGTGTCAGTTGAAATTGTCATAAAAATTAAAATTCTATGTAATTCAGCCAATTCTTATAGGAACATACCTTAAAGACTTTAACTTGGCAAGAGGCACAATGAAGCAACTTGCTATCTCCCTCCCCTGAAGTGTGAGACTCCACTTGAATTCGGAATGGGACACCTTTCTCCCCTCCATGTTTCTTGGGAGTGAATTCTGTGCTAATACAATGCACACGAATGTACACTCCAGTCTCTTTTGTCGGATCCCAAATAAACTCAGCAGCATTCAATTTGTTTGGGTCTAAGCGGACATCAATTAATCCATATGACAATGGGACATCTGCAAAAGAAAAACAGGAGAAGAAAACAGTGTAAATAAAGAAGAGATCTACAGAGTCATCTTGACTCCTTTATTTCCCTCACCTAGAATCATTTTCAAGAATTATGATTTTGATTTTTTAGAAAAGTTTCACTGGAACTCCCCACTTTTTTTTTTTTTTTTTAAATGTAGGTTGCCATGAAAAAAGAAATGTTAATATTTGAACATTTCTTTTTTCTAGAAAACATAAAAAATTAGATTAAAAAAGTTCAATTTAATTCCATTTAGGATACAAGTTCAAATCTCATTAAAAGCTACATTTTTTTTTTATTAATTTCACAACGTTGATTCTCATAATCAAACAGTGTGTGTTGTAATAAGAATCAACAATACAATAAATAATAATGAAAAAATAATCTAAGTCTGATTAAATCTTAAGATGTTAGACATTGTAAATTACAGGGAAATTTTTCTTCTTTTATGTGCCATGTCCGTTCAGGAGGTAGGGAATCATGGTCCTCCACATCTTCCTGTCCCTTGTGGCTCTTAATAGTTTTGTCGTTTTGTTATTTCTCCCAAACCCTGTTCTACCATCCATTTGCTCAAGTTTATCAAGCAAGTTATGTGCTGCTATCATCTGTCCCACTTACCCTCAGTCTATCTTGTGAGTATCAAGTTCTCCAAGCCCTCCTTCCTTATTATATGTTTTAGAAATTTCAACTGCCTCCTCCCGATGTTAAGTATAATTTTTTTTGTTTACATTTTGTCCAAAACCTTGTTGCTGCTCACATGTTCGGTCCATGGTATCCTCAGCATCTTCCTATAGAACCACATTTCCATTGCTTTAAGTCTCCTTCATCTTTGAAGTAATTGTCCAGCACTCACTACCATAAAGGAGGACTGATACTACACAACAGTCCAGTACACTGTTTCTAACAAATTTTTGCTGCCTCTTAATATACTGCTTAGCTTTGGGAATGCACCTTTGGCCATCCCAATATGTCTTCAGATTTCAGTGTCACACTTTTGGTACTTGTTTGATTTTAGTATCTCTGATTTATAATTTGCATTTCAAGCAATCTGAAGGGAAAACTTAAGTATACATATTTTTATCTATGTGAATGAATTAATTCATGGCATTTGAAAGTCACTTTAAAGTACAAATTAAGGAGAATAATTTAGTTTTTATAATAATGAACAGTGATTAAAATTTTAATGATTACTCAAACTCCCAAAATGATTTACATAAAACCATGTTATGATAAGGTTTGAAGATTTTAAAATTGAAATATTTAACAGATATTCACGCAATAACAACATGTTCAACAACTGCCCAAATTATTTCAAAATGACTTCAGACAAGGTTCAACAAAGTTTAAAGACTTTAAAATATAAACACTTATCTCATAGGGATTCTCTCAAGAACAATGCATTATAATAAAATGCCAAGAATTATATTACTAAAGATAAACAACATTTGATATACCAATGTCAAGCAAGCGTTCACCAGGTCGTGTAAGCCGCCACAGTTCCAACTGTTCTTTTTCCATATATTGAAGTCGTCGCTCGTGGAAACAAACTTTCACAACACTCTGCAAACAGAAAATTTACATTAAATTATTTCAGTAATAATAGAAAGTTGCCAAAAATAAATCTCTGATATGCAAAACAAAAGACACTAAGAAAAAGTCAAACATGATAAAAGCATCTTGACAAAGATAAAAGAATAAAAAGATTATTGAATTTTTATGACAAAAACTATATTTAAATATACGTTTTCTCTTAAAAGACAATTTCATTTTGTTCATTTTAATTTCCAGTTCAATGAAATGTGAAAAGTTATTTTGATCTTAGATTTTCCCAAAAATGAAAACAAATGCACTTAAAATTGTGCCAATTTACTAGAATTATCTCAGTCCATCTCTCCTGTCAAACCTGTGAGAAAGACAGTTGGGGGTTGAAAAAATACTATATGATACTTTAACCCCTAGAGAGGGAAGAAAAAAAAAACTACTTACAAGTCAAAATTAAAAAAGAAATCATGCTTGCAAAACTAAATATGTGAATTTCTTCGCATAATTGTTGCATTAAGAGAAAGGAAAAAAAATAAAAGGAAAAAAAATAAAATAAAATAAAAAAAAAAAAAAATTGTCTCCACAAAAGTAACACCCTTGAATAGTTTTTAATTTATTAGAGCTGGTATGCATTAACACTCAGCAAGATTATCAATCTTAACTGACAGTAAAAGTTGACATAGTCAAGTGTATAGAAAATATATAGGCCCTTGAAGGCAAAAACATAACAGGTTTGGTAAGAAAAAATGGGTTTGATTAGCTAAACCTTTGATAACAAGCACAAATTGCACTTACACTACATGCAGTCTTAAATGACTGCATGCAATGTAGATACATTTTGTCACAGATTTCATTTGCACTTACTCGGAGGTATTTGCCTTTGAAATTTGAGAGATCACCAAGTTTTTTCAGTTTAATTTCATAGGATTGTCCTAAAAAATAAAGAAAAAAAATAATAGTACATTTGTAAATAAAGTTTAACCACACATCGAGTATTTTCAATATTTCAAATAAAAAATTCCGAGAAATTTGAACTGAGAAATGTTTAAAAAATAGTAAAATTTCAGTATGAAATAAGACGTTTCGATTAAATATTATTACTATTTTATGTCCAAAGTCTTTTTAAATGTGGCAATCATAGCTCTCCACAACTTTTTGTTGCCCTAAATAATTTTAGACTGATCCTTTACGATCCCTCTGTTTTGCTATCATTCCATACAAACACATTATGGTTACTGTTTCTCCTGCTTTTCTTTCCTTCAATATGTTCCGTGAGTGTTAAGTTTTCTAGATTATGCAGCCCAGAAATTTCAGCTGTTTCTTTCTGATTCTAAATACAAGTGTCCTTTTTGTTTCCATTTTCTTTCAGATTGTAAGTGTAAGTTTATCAGTTGTTCTTATTTACTTAAGAAGTCTTCATTCCTCCATATATTTTGTCCATGGGCTTCTCAGCATTTGTTGGTAGAAGCACATTGCTGCTTAAAGTCTCGTCTTCATCTGTAAGGAAAATCTCCAGTATTCACTGCCATATAGGAGATAAGATATTGCATAGCAGTTCAGAACTTTTTTTTTTTTCCTAACAAAATTTTCCTATTAGGTTATCTCTTTTACTGAAGATCATCCATTGTCTTCTGATAATTCAACCTTTCTTCTTGCTTTCCTTGCCTACTTTTACATCAATACAATAAAGCATCCACTTCTACCATATATATTTGAGTAGAGTGAGAGTTTTTGAGATCAATTTTTTTTAGCACAAATAGGGAGTTGTGCTATACACAGGTAAATCTTTTCTAGAAGAGTTAAAATTTGTGCAAAAAAATTCAAGGGTTGCATTATACATGAAGTTGGCTTACACACGAGTATATAAGGTAATTGGCTAGTAAGCCTTAATATACATTAATTTAATTACTACAGAAGCAACTAGAAAGAAAACAATTCTTACCTTGGTTTAAATATGTCAATGTTTCCTCGTTTATTTTAACAGCAGGAGACGTGGCAGCACCAAGAACATATTGAAATCTGAAATTTTACATTTTTTTTTTTACTCATTTTTGAGATTACATTTCAAGGATTATGCATTTCATTAGATATGTATATAAATAAATATATCTGTAAAAAGACAATATGTATAAAGACAAAAGGAAAACTTTACCAACAGGTTTCGTCCCAAGGGACTTTATCATAAATATGCATATCATATATGTGCGTGTGTGTGTGTGTGTGTGCGTGTGTGTGTGTGTGTAATTCTTTTCAGCCCTTTTTTTTTTATAATTTTGATAGCATCAATAAGTATCCATCTATATTTCGGGAGATGAGGTATTGTAATTGTTTACACTATTTACATTGCTTCAGAATGTTGTCCTAATCTTTGTTGCCATATTCACAATGTTTCAGCTGTTATATGCTCCAGCCTTCTTCAGGTTTCTCAATGACATATTCCCCAATCTATAAAAGTGTTGGTTGAATCTAGTAACTTTACCCAGATCTGTGAGTTCAATATCTAGCTACAGCCGAAATAAACAAAACAAAAAAAAAAAAAAAAAAAAAAAAAAAAATGGAGAGGTGAGTTAAAGAGAGATAACAGATACTGAGACATCTGGAAGAGGCATGGCACATGGAACTAGAAGACTACCTCAGTGGATGAAATAAAGGGTTCAGTTCAAAATTCCAATCACATGAAGAAGGCCGGAGGATACAATGGCCAAAACATCATGGATATAGCAACAGAGATGAGGACAACAGTTCAAACAATGTAAATAGTGTAAATAAGCAAATAAAATGTTTGTTAATCCATTAACTTGAATAAAAATTTCATCATTTAATGAGGTTAACAAAACAAAATTGAAACTACATAATAATCTTTCAAAATAATTTTGCTACCAATTAATAGCCACTCCCAAATAATGGATTAATAGACATTCCCAATCCCTTACAGATTTAAGTTAATTTCCATCCATTTATTTTTTATATTTACCATATTAGAAAATAAGGAATTTTTTTTCATTTTAAAAGAGAATCATTCTTTTGAGAGGTGAGCACATTATAATAAAAATTAAGAATATTACATTTTAAAATGTTTTAATCTAAAATAATTTAATCTGTTAAAGTGAAATGACTACTTAAATATCCAGATTCTCAGAATTAATTTCTGTAAATACAAAGTCAAGTTTCTAAACTTTCAATATTTCAAATCATTAGAAAAACTCCAAATACAAAATAATAAAATTCATTACACTGTATTTAACATTATATAAGGTGTTTGGACATGTAAGAGGAGTCATTTGGGCAACAAGAAGCAGTTTTTAAAAACACCTTTCTAAACACTCAGACACAAAATTTCAATTTATATGCAAAATCCATGAGAGGGCAAACTTATACATCATCGAAAACCTTCAAATCATTTTAAAATTTTTAATTATAATTTCAGTAGCATTTCTTAAATGTCAAATTCAGCCATAAAAACCTAATAAAAAAATAAATAAATAATAAAATTCAAATAATTTTATCTAAGTCATAATTAATGAATCATTAAATCAATATGTACAGGTATTTTAAATCAATATGCACAGGTATTTTCTAGATGCTAAAGCCCTAACATTTACTTACACTCAAAGTCATCAATTGCTAAATTTAATGTATTCAATTTTTTTTTTTCATTTTTGAAGTAATATTTTTTGTATATGCTGGCATAAATCTAAAAGGTATTTGAAAAAAATAAAAAATATTAAGTTATTACAACTTTTATTAACATATTTATACAAAAATAAAAAATATGCCGCATCCCCAATTAATAACACTCCTTTCTTAGTAATCAGTGTTAAAGTTATTATTTGCAATTATAAATGCCAATCAGTTCTTGTAATTATTCATAATCTCTTGGCATATCTCCAATTTCCAATCACTCCTCTTATACAAAAGAGTCACCACTTGTCATCATCCCGGTCTTGAGCTCTCCTCATATTATTGAGAGGTTGACTACTTCAAAACATTGACAATATTAATGAATAATTTTTTTACCAGCTTTGTTGTATGTTTCAGATGATTGCTCCAATAGAAAGCAACGGTCATGTTTTTCTGCAGACTGATTAATGCTTTCCATCAAGATCTTAAATATATTGCTCCTTTTTCATACAAGGTAGCTAGGCCCATTAGTCAAAAAAGCATCTTCAGAACATCATATTCTTACCATGTTGCACCAAGGATACATGGTTCTTCAGATTGAAGCTATGTCATTTCTTTCACCAAAACATTCTTATGTCCAATAAACCCCAGGTTTTGTCTGACAACAGAATTGAAGCCTAAGAGCTTTTGTAAAGGCTATATGATGCATACAATGGAGGAGGGACATATTTAACAAAAAAAAAAAAAAAAAAAAATGCATTTTCACTGCAAATTATTCATTATATATTATCTAAGTATTTTACAAAAAATTAGAGCTGATTACACAATATTTCAAGCTCAATTTAGATTTAATAACCATGCAATGAGATTAGGTAACAAACCGTAGATTTGTCTGTAGAATATCATTACATTATTGTTACATAATTATAGTGAAATCATTAAGGTTTTTTGTCAAAAGCATTTCATTTTTGGTCATATATTAATTTTAAATATTCCTTTTTACAGGCTTTATTTTTGAAATGGAATAAGATCATTCTAAATTTCAGAATTTCACTATTGCCCATCAAAATGACTGGAAGAAAGCAATGGGAAAAGAGAGGTAACAAAGCATAAACAAAATAGCTCCAGTTTGTTCAACTTAGAAAACTTAGCATTGCAACCAAAGTATTCTAAAATGCTGCCAATAGCAAAGGAGTAAATGAAAAATATGTAACAACAATTTGAATATAGCATCAAAATTTATATTATTTTTATTTATTTGTTATGTAACAAAATACATAATTGTTAATGTTTCCATAAAACTTTATATTTCCTGTAATAAATCCTTGATAAATATTATTATTGCTACTATTTTACTACTTAAGTGTAAGGTAGTCCTACATTTACAATTCCTTACAGCCCAACATGAAAAGAAATGTTGATCAAAACTGCCTAAAACCTTTGATCACATATTTCCACAAAATTATCAAATGTTGAATATACCTCTCCTCTGCTGAACGCATCATATGAACTTTTATGTATTTTACTAGGAGTAAAGTTTTTCTTGGTCTACAAGCTTGGAAGCCACCTTTGTGCAATGTCTGCCTTGATACAACAATGCCATATTCACCAACATTCAAGACAGCCCTGGTTGTGATCCTTAAAATACCCATGGTTTCATACAGCCTTTTTCTTACTTAAGTCTACAGCATGGATACCTGCACTTGAAATTGCTCTAACAGTTTTGCAGCCTTTATCTACTTGTGAAAAGCTACAATGTGAACTTCACTCAGTTCTTTGGTTTTATTTATACTAAAGTTTCCTGACGACCATACATTAACAATGATTACATCAAATCTCATTCATCTATAATTTATAAGAATATGCTAGAAAATGACAAATTAACACCACTATCTGGAATTTTCATGAATGAATATACTAAAAATAAAATTTCTAGAAATTTAATAGAAAGACTTGAAATCAGTAGTATAATTTTGGATAAACTTTCTGGAATGTGATAAAAATTTGAACAATTATTTTTCTTGAATCTCTGATATTATTTGATAGTCACTTGATGCAATTAATAGTGAAAACAGATTAATTTCCTCAAAATAAAAACAGGAGTTTCATGTGGGTGTAGTATGCAGGGTGTCCCTACAGTCTGAACATAAGAAATCTCATTAACAATATTTTTTTTTTTTATCTCTGCAGAAGAAAAAATTGACTTCATTTTCAGGGATCTGCTAAAGGAGAAGGTCTACTCAATGAAAATCACAGATGCAACACACTTGGTTGAGCACATAAAGAGTAAATGGGCTAAAATTGACAGCAATTGGGAGTTATTGCATTGAGTTCACATGAGTTCTGCAAGGCACATCAACCTTTGCATCATAAACAATAGAAATCATATTGAAGATTTTTGTTAATATTTCAATTCAATAAAATGTTGAAAATTTCTTTCTTGAAAATATGCATTTTTGCCTATGTGTCTAGACTTTAAGGACACCCTGTATATCATAAACATCCTTAAAAATTTACGGGCACATATATTACAAACACTGCAAAATAGGTAAAGATTCATCATCTTGAATTAAATAAACAAAAGTACTTAACATTTTCATAAATACCAGTTTAAATATAAATACCTTTCCAACTAAGTAGCTAAATAATCTAATACATATCTACATTGGCTTTTATTTATGAAAATACATTCTGGCTATATGTAAATGTCAAGAAAAAAATTCAACATATTTTTAAGCATTCATCTGATTGTTAATGTGAACCAAAACCTTAGTTTAAAAGCCAAGATAAAGTACCATTCTTCTAAATAGAAGACTAAATTCCCGGAAAAATTAATGACTGCTACTGTACAAATATTAAACAATGGTGAAACGACTTACAGAATTAAAAAGGGGTGATTTTGTACTTTCTCATGTTAAAATGTTTTTTGATTTTATTCAAACAATAAACTAAGTTGACATTTTATGCGTTTAATTTTTATCTATAAGACTTAAAAAATTATTATCTTTTGTTTTATTTAAATAATAACTAAGAATTTAAAGTTTTAATAATTTTTACTTGAAACTATTTAATCATTTTTATTCAATAACTGTTTTAATTTTTTAGGACATACTTCAAAGTTTTTAAATTTTCAAAATTGACATTATGATCACATTATAAGATTTTATTTCGTTATGGCTGGAAAACCATATGCACCATTGAAAATTGCAGATCATCAAAATAATTCCATAAATTTAAATTTATATATAAATTTATGGAAATTACATAATTTAACGCAAGATAACTTTTCAATTTTAAGATGGTTAGTATCATATAAATTTTTGAAAAATAATCAAAACCGCCAACATTGCAACATTAAAATGAGTTTTCAAAAACATGCTTTGAATTTTGTAGATGGCTTTTGTTGGTCATGCATGCAGACATCAGCAAAGCATTCCAAAATAATTTAACAGAAGAAAAGAAAGATTGCCTAAAAAGGTTATAATATATGGGTCACTCAAAATCATTTTCAGTAATTAAAATCCTTGCATGCACAACTTTATTAAGACAATGAAAGATTTCATTAAATATTTAATAAATTTATACAAAAGAACTTACAATGTTTTTAGGTCATAACTTCCTCACTAACAATTGATCCCAAACAGAAGGACTTGAGCAGAAGAGGCTGACCAAACTGACCAGATAAAACCTGTGCTACATGTGAGAGCTATTCTACACTCAGTTGGATAGATAACATCAAATAATGTCGCATTTTGCAAAGAAGCAAGTAGCTTTGTTTTCTGCTTAGCCACTTTTCAAAGGCAACTATGCCCTTAATAAGTTGAGGAAAAGAGAAAGGGGGTCCACATGAACAATTACAAAAGCAGAAACATTTGTTAAAAAGAAACTTACCCATTCTCTAGATTTTCCTGCTTGAAGACAGGAAGAGCCAGAAGAGCTTCACTGTTAATGGAAAAAAAACAAAAAAACTTCTCAACAACAGCATGCCAACCATTTGTGTCATGTAAGAAGATACTCCCAAGGTTTATATGGACTTCATTTGACATTAAAACTTTGATAAATCAAATAAAAAGGTAAATAATGATTAAAAAAAAAAAAAAAAGGTTAATATCCAATCACAGAAGTTGTTTAAAATCATTTACCAGCAATAAAAGCAAAAAAAGTGATAAGAAACTAAATGACATTGGCTAGGCTGTACATATAGATCTACCTGATGCCAGAAATTTAAAATTAAGCATTCTTGCATCTTCAGCGTTTCTATTGAGGTTTAATTATAAGCAATGCTTGTTTACATTTTCATTCCATCCTTCCAACATATACGAGTTCTGGTCAAAAAGTATCAGGTCTGGTCCTATAAAACAAAAACTATAACACATGTCAAATTGGCATTTAATTTCCTTTGACATAATCCTCTTCTGAATCCATATACTTTATCCAGCTTTATTTCCATTGATGGAAGCATTCCTGAAACAACTTTTTAAGATAGCAATCAGCTGACTAGTCGCATTCTTTAGGATTTCCTCAATGTCTTGAAATCTAGTTCCTTTCAAGTGGGATGTGATTTTTGAAAAAAAAAAAAAAAAAAAAAGTTGCAAGAGATGAGAGCTGGGAAATGTGTTAGTTGCCAAACCTGGGAAATGTTGTACTTGACTAAAAACAAGCTATGATCACTGATAGAACCTCTGTGGTTGGCAAGATGATCACACTACACACTTTCCTTCCAAGTACTGCTATAAACAACAGGAGCAAGAACATTATAACTTAATGTGTATGCACAACAGAGTTTAAGGTCAATCTGTGACAAGCTGCTTCACTCTGCATATGTCAGCTCCATTACCAATATTTTTTGATTAAACTACATATACAGGATTCCATCAATAAAATCATTTAGTCTGAAGAAGTCTTTTTGAAGGATGAAACATTTCATAAGATTTTTTTGTCCTCATTATGTCATTCATTTTCTCAACAAAGTATAAATAAGAAATCATTAACTGAAGAATCAACAGAGAGTGTAAAACTTCAGTTCTATGACATTCATTTTGTACAGATCATTTATGTTTTACATGAGATTATAATATATATATATATATATATATATATATATATATATATATATATATATATGCATCGTCATGAGGGAATAATCAAACTGAAATTATGACAACACTCATTTGGATTTTAATTTATTTTACATCAACAATTTTTAATCAAATTCACCCCATGTAAGGTAGTAAAGACTTCTCTAGAATCAAACCATACTTTGGCCATACTGCATACATAGCCACAAAACACTAAGAGCAGTGATGAGAGGACTGAATGATGCATATCAATCTCAGTCTATTGTGTAGCAATGTACAAACAGATTATAAGGCTATTTTTCACCATGGGTTGATTGCAAATAATTAATAGGTAAAAATGTAATGAAATCCTTTATTAAAGATTGGAAACCTTTTCTTTTGCATAACTACACACAAATCTATTGAGAACTAGAAGAGGTAATATGAACATCAAAATATTGCTTTTTAATAATAAAAATCATACACTATTTCCTTTTATTTTGTTGGATTTGCAGTGACACACACATATATATTTAAATGTCAAAACTGTTCAAGGTTGAAGAGCTACTTGAGGTAAACAGTTTCAGGGTAAGAGACACCACTCAAAGCAAGGTGATAATGCCACCAAGACACAAGGGGACATCAGAAGGTAAAATAGCTGGCTACTCTTTTCTGAACACACCCATCTGCCAGGGCAGTGAGCAAATACCTATTACAGATACCTGCTCAACCTACATAGTTTTATACTGCATCTATGCTGAGCAAACTGTAGTTACAGTTTATGAGAGTGAGCACATAATTTGGCATGATCAATTTTTTTTTTAACAAAGCCAGTACACTCAAACCCTTGGTCACAATGACTTATGAATTTGTACTAGCACAACTATCAACAGCTTCTGAACAGTTCCATCTACCCAATTTACACTCACAAAGCTTGGTTTAACCTATAATTTGGTTTTCAGAAACATTTCAAGGGTTCTAAGCTGCATCCCCAGAACAATATTATCAAAAAGTCACCTCCCTGACAAACTGACCATGGTGATATTCAAAACCAGGTCTCATAGCTAGACAGTAAACATTCTAACCATTTGGCCACATGCCTATATATATATATATATATATATATATATATTCTGAAACTATATTACCCAGGGTACTTCAATAAAAAAATATTTCATTTTGATGACAGGGAGTCCCCCAAGAGATACCACCCCACTGAAATTCTTTTTCCCCCATTGATTTAAATTAAACTTAAATTTGAATAAAAGGAATGACGCCTATCCAAAATGCAGGAGAAAAAAGGAAGGTACCGGTCACATCAGCAAGATCATCAAGTAATATTGAAATGCATCATTTTTCTCCACAAATTATAACAATGATTGATCATCATTTTCTTACAAAAGAAATGTGTGACATGCAGCAATGTGCAGGTAATTTGACTAGTGTGTGTGTGTGTGTGTATATATATATATATATATATATAAAAAAAACTTTGATAAGTTTTCAGCACATTTGTTAACTCATCTAGTCAACAATACATGCTATAGATACCATTTTTCATTTCAACAGCCTGCCTGCAACTATATCATAGGTAATAACTTTCAATTGGATCATAGACTACATATATTTTTTAGTTTTTTTTCCATTATCAAAGTTACCCAAAGTTTCAGGTAACTTTGATAATAATGATTTAAACATAATTTCAATGTGCCAACATTGATTTAAATATAAATTAAATATGTTAAGTTGCATCAGGCTAACTTTTAAGAGAGAATCATTTCTGCCTGCTGTTTTTTTTTTTAATGGGAGAGAAAGATAAGTTAGGAATTGTACAAAATAATCAGAAGACAACTGCAATCTTAACATACCTGAAACATTCTCTAAATATTTTTAAAACAATTAAATGCATCTCAATTTAATCTCCCTCATGACTCATGAACCATCTCTCATTAATTCAGAAAATTTACGGTTACCTGGCACTTTTGAGTCAATAAACACATCATCGGCTATGTTGAAAATGCTGGACTTTTTTTTTTTTTTTTTTTTAAATATAGTCAAGATTATTTCACAATACAGTTTATGCATTAAAAATACTTGTGAAATCAAAACTGCTCACGCACTTTATGAACAAGTAAATATTGTCAATGTCAGCCAAATTTGTGTTCTGTCTCTAGAGAGAAAAATCAGTTTGATTCTCAAAGGAAACAAGGAATGAAAAACAATAGTTTGGCTTTTAGAGAAACTATATCACGATTTTCAATAAATGTATTGTAGCATGTTTGATGACAGTTCATTACTTAACACTACAGTCACACAGACATTCCTGAAAGAATTAATTAGTAGCTTTTAAAAACTTTTATCATTGAATGTTTTTATTGCGTTCAGAAAATAATTGTTATTGCACAAACTGTAAGAAATCTATTCATTGATTCAAGGTCACAAAAAATTAATAATTCAGAAGTCATTGTAAAAAAAAAAAAAAAAAAAAAAATATCGAAATAAACATTAAAAACAGTATCCGACAAAATAAACAAAAGGTAATTAAATTAATTATCAAAGAAAAAATGGTTCTAAAAACTTCAATTAGTTTTTTCGACTGTGACTACACAATGAATGAATATTTTTTATCTTTTCAAATACTTCAGTAAATTCAGATTTTTATTCATGCCTTCAAAAATAAAATAAATAAAACAAAAAAAGAATCTCTAAATAAATACGTATTACTCGCAATATCGGGTATGAAAATTGTTTTGAAGTTGACGTTAATTTGCATAACTAAAAAAAGAAAAGAAAAGTTAATTGGAATAGAATTAAAGTGGAAATGTAATTGAATGTTTTTATTGTTTACTCCTAATTTTTTTTCCAATCATCGTAATTTGTTGGTAAATAATTAAAACAAGAAAAAAGTGAGTGAACTGTCTCTTGTTTTATGTTACTAATAAATAATTATAATTTATTAATATAAATAAAATCCGATTCAGTGGGGGGTTTTACGGAGCGAGCCGGTCGGTGGGTGTGTAGAACGTTTTGAATTTTTCTTTTCTAGACAATTTTTTTTATTATTTTCAAAATATTCACACGTAAAATAAATGATTTTGCAATTTAAAGCAAATAAAAAACACTTTTTGATCTTCGATAGTTTTTTTTTTATTCTTTTATTTTAATTTAAATACAGAAAAACAACGCTCGCTTTTTTTTTTCTTTTTCCCTTTTTTAGGGCGAAAGATTTTAATTTATTTGATTACAAATCTTACTTATTTTTGCATTTTCCTTTTCTTTTTCAATAATAATCTGGACCGATCTCCTTGCGGGAAGTGTCAGTGTTCGTGGCATAGTTAAAAAAAAAAAAGTCACATTTCAAATGCTGATTTTCTAGGTATATATCTCATTGAAAGATTGGCACCACACTCTTCTTATCTCATCATTGTGTCCGATTAAAAAAAGGTTCCAGAATGAGGAATATGAAAACAAAAATTTATATTTACTTAAAACCAAGTTTAATATTTTGAAATTGACAGGACGCAACTTAGTCACCAATATTTTCATAAAGACAAAAAACTAAAAATGACATTAAAAAAAAAAAGAAGTCACGAAATTTTACAGAATTAAAAAAAAAAAAAAAAAGAAAGACAGACTGAAACCAAACACGTTTCTTAATTTTTAACTTTAGATCACGAATACTTTGCTTTTGTTTTTTTATTTACTTTTTTTCTCTACAAATCACGAGGAAAAAAAGTTTGTTATTTTGTTATTAATACAAAAAAAAAACTCTCAAAAGTTTGGTAAAGTACTTTGCAATTCAATTTTTTTTCTTTACTATACATGACTAAAAGGTTTGTAAATATTGACAGGAAATTTTATCACTTTTAAATGCAAGTCAAACTATTTTGTATTCATTACATTAATGAGATTTTTCACGCCTTATCGTTAATTAATTGTACTACTCATGCTTGATCTTAATTTTAGAATTACGACTACTGTTTAAGTCTGGTGTTTTGATTTTTATTATGGATTTTGGAAAGTCCCACGCGGAAAATATGAAAACTAATAAAGTTGACCAACATTAGACTTGTTAGAGACTTCACTTGAAAGACAAACTACACGAGGCATGCAATGTAGAAAAGATCGCTAGTGCTTGGCTACATCTTTCTTTACCGTAATCGGTTCTGCATGCAAGCAAGAAAAGATTATTCGAAGCTACAGAGCTCTTTTTTTTTATCCAATAATATGGATTTGATTTTATAACTACGATTTCAAAAGGCACTAAGAATTTGCCATAAAGACAAGATTAACGCGGACAAAACTTTCACTCGCAATATGAAGCAAGGTACAAAAACAGATTAATAATGGCAACTTCGCGTGTGGGACCCTTAACAAACAATACAATATAAATCATGGAATGACAGTCAAAAATTCACGCCAAAATACATATCCAAAAATTCACGTGACTAACTTATCGTAATTTTTTCTGAACACAAGCAGAGAAAGAGTTTTCCACTTTTTCTAAAAAAAAAAAAAAAAAGTTTTTTTGTTTATTTTTTACGTTATTGTTTTAAAAAAAAATCTATCAATATGACATCGTTTTTGTTGTGTTTTTTTTTTACTGCTCATTTCGCTGGGTTTCATGAGAAAATATTTTAGTGCTGTCAAAAAGTTTTAAAAAGAAAATTATAATTACAGTATGAAATATGGCAAAGCAATTTATAATTACAAAAAGTAAAGACGATTGCGTGAGATAGAAACTTCTAAGCAACAGAGTAAAAGAAAAACAAAGGAAAGAAAAACTTACCTCATGTTATATGTCCCCGTACCCAACTCTGATCCGAGACCAGACAGGGAACCATCAAAGTCTGCAGCCAAACCACCATCAATATCCCAATTATTGGTCACTGCTGCGTGAAGGTTATGGATAATTTTCGACCGTTTCCCAGCCGTGGAAGAATCATCTGACCAGTTGACAGACATGCTGCTGCTTTCCCTCTTGACTGGTCAGAAAAATAAAGAGACAGTCCAGTCGTTGTGTCTCACCACAACTTACAATTCTCTTAGAGCACAATAACGAAATCGAGATTTAATTTAAAAAAAAAAAATGCAAGTCGCCCCACTTATTATTTAAAAAAAAAAACAAAAAAAAAGTAAATTCATGAAAAAACAAAAAAAAAGAGAGGTCAATAAATAATGTAAAAGACGTCGCGGGAAATAAAGGAAGGAAATAAATAAAAAAAAAAAAAAAATTCAGAAATTTCGGTGTAAGGTTAAGAACCCAGGGTCCGTAGACGAGAAAACTTGCGTCTGTGACAGAAGAGTTCCAAACTCAAATAAGGGGAGACCACTCTCGAACGACCTGAAGTTGACAGCTTTACGATAAAGTTTTAAGGTGTACCATACCATTTACAATAATTTTCAAAAGCCGTAAGCTTTGTTTTATCACATTATTCTGAAACATATATATAAGAATATCAGTCATCCAATACCTTTCCACATATAATCTTTAGTTCTCTGCACTTTGAATAGCACTTTTAAATTAGAACTCCCACAATGTGTGCTAACCAGAATCTATGGTATTTATAACAAAAATCTAATTCCTCTTAAATGCATATTATTATAGTATAATTACATTTTCATTGTTGTTAATAAAAATGATCAGCTTGAATCAATATTTTTTTCATTTCTTTTAAGTATATATCCAATTATATTAATTATTGTCCATTTAAACTCACCATAGGTCACTTTTTCCACCGACCGGAGATCTCGATATTTTAGAGTTACTTCCCCTATGTAAACACCGTTTTTGAAGAAAGTGGACTCTGGCTTTTAACTCTGGCCAAGTAACTGGACGTACCGATAATCAATAAAATGACAAACTAATTCATCTTGTATATGTTAAGGCAAGACAATTCATTTCTATCCAAGCAATGGCAGTAGCAGTGGAAAGGAGGCGACGTTTCAAAGTGATCAGAAAGACGATAATTACTGGTTGTTAGACTGCATCGTGAATGAAATGTATTAAAAATGCTTTTAGATAGACATCCCTTGTAATGTTTTAGTCCACAAAAGAATTTGATTTTAAAGAAAGACGAATTTTTAAATGTTTGCTAAACGAAGAAATGTAAACATAGGCTCGAAATCCATTTGCAAGAGTTCCACCAAACAAGGGAGATCACTCTCACAACTTGTAGGAGGATTTAAAATTTTAATCTTAAAAAAAGTTACAGGACGAGATTCACTTCTTTAAAAAGCAATCTCTTTCAGATCGGATTCCCGTAAGTCGGTCATTAAATTAAAATGTTATTCAGTTGCCTAACCCATTAATTTACTTACTTTAAACCGAAACGTAAGTAAGCATTTTATTACGTCTGGTTAATACTTTTTTATTTGTTAGTTAAAACAACAACAACAACAACATTATTAACAAAAAAAACATTCGTTTTATGTTGACATTTTGACAATATTGCAAAAAGACATCATTGCCTTTAGATTTTTTAAACAAAACTTTTCCAACTTGTTTTTTCTTATGGATACTTGCGAAAAGACATCGAGCAGAGACCTTTTTGGAATGTTCGTGGTTTTTGTTCAAGGCGTACTAGATCGAAAACAGTAAGGTCTCTCTAGTCAATTGGTACTTACTTACTATTTGCTACTTTAAATAATAATTTAATTTGGTAAGCATTTGGATTTTATTGTAATTTTATTTGGAAAAAAACATTTAAAAACAACAAAGTGCATTTTGGTGTCGTAAAATTTACAAAACGCGTATCGTATGAGCTGAAAAAGTTTAAAATATAATTACAAAAACAACCAAACACACTGTTTTGGGTTTTTTTTTTAAAGGTTCATTCTTAATTAATATTTTTCTACACTTGTTTGTCCTCCTGCTATTTTACTGAAAATGACTGTTTCCCTTTTTTAGGGATCCAGTTCATTTGCGAGAAATGAAACATAAGATGAAATAAAAAGAAATGGCTCTAGTAAAAAGTGATGGTTCACTTAACGTTTTTAAACGGATAAATTCCCAAACCCTGATTTTGTCTTCGCTGTTATGACAGCAAATGTTCAATCTTGAACATACTGCTCTATGGACCCTGATTTTGTGGTCGCGTTTTATGCAAGAAGCAGTAAGTGGGAGTATTAAACTAAAACAAAAGCATATAAAAATGAAAAAGAATATTTAACGAGTAACTTAGAGGGTAATAGGTGGGAATAGGGATTTTCGTAACCTCACGAATTTAGTTCTTCGTCGAATAGAAATAGAACATGTAGCTTTACTAATTTTTTTTTTCCGTCTTCCGTGCCGGGAACATGAAATAACGAAAAAAAGATTCACTACCTACTTTCATAAAAATTGATACAAATAACAAAAAGGGTCTCTATTTTAGCGATATTGTAAATCGAACACACCTAAAAATCCAAATGTTTTTTTTTTTTTAACTTTCTTAAATAAATTAGGGTCAAAGTCATCCAAAGAATATAAAAAAATACATACACAACAAAAATAGACACTTCACTTCAGTCTCAACTAAAAATAAAAATCTTTTCTTTACCATGCAAATAAATCAAGAATATTTTGGGAAAAATATCAATATTTAATTATTACCAAACGACTAATGTGGTTTCTATTAATACACACTTTTCGTTTGGTATATTTTCCAGAAATATTATCATTCTTGATTGCTTGAACTTTATTTTTGAAATGTGTAATTTCGCGCTGTGGTGAACACTCATACACCTCAAAAGTAACATATTTTCATTTAGTTATCTCCCTTGACTTTTTATTAATAATGTCCCTTCGTTATCACTCTCCTGTTATTTAAAATGTAGCCATCTTGTTTATTCGTTAAAGTATCCTGTAGTAAGCGGACCCTCTGGAGGTGGTGCGATGTAACATGGCCTGTGCGCCCCAATAAGTACGAGTCATAAGAGGCCCACTAACATTTTAAAAATAAATGACGTGAATTTGACATGGCCAACAAGAGGACAACAAACGACAAACTTAAAATTAATACAAAATTTATTTACATCATCTACAAAAGTATCTTTGGATTAAAGGAGCATGAACAAACAAGAATCAAGTAATGGAGGTAGAATTAAGTAAATTAAGTAATACTAACCGACAAGAAGATCTAGATAAAATAACTGACTAAATGTTAAAAGTAGAGTCCATGTAAGTTAAGGTGGCATGTAAGTCCCCAGTTCGAAAGTTCAATTCACATGTTTGGCAAAAGTGTTTAAAAGTTGCTGGTTAAGTCCAGTGATGAACCTTCCATAGTATTTTAACCAAAGTGTACAGAGTAGGTTATTTGAAATCTGGACGATATAGCCAAAGAGAAGAAAATCCAATTAAATGTCCTGTGTTGGCATTCCATAATTGCTGGTTAAAACAGGTCCATTAATGCCGATCAACCAAGTGAGGTTGATATAGAGATGCCGGAAGTAGGGACCGATGTGTAGCCGGAAGTAATAAAGGCCAGGAATGACAGAAGATAAGGGTCCATGGTAGCCATAAGTAAGATTCTGTGGTAGCCGGAAGTAGTTTAGATCAGGATTGCCAAAAGGAAGGATCTGAGATAGCCAGTAGTGGTAAAAGCCAGGAATACCAGAAGATAATTGTCCGTGGTAGCCAGAAGTAAGAGTGGATAGGAAAGCTCAACTAGCATCCAGTTGGCAGAAGAAAAATAAATGAGCACATAACTCAATACATAACCCATCCAAGCCCCCTGGTCACAAAGGCCTGGGTGCCTGCATTTTGCCTCCTCCTTGCTCTCCTTTGTTTGGCGAGAAGTCACCAGGTTATATGTTAAGGGAATATGATGGCATTAACTGGGCCTGCCATTGCACTTAAAATCAAAAGGAAATAAATCCAAAGTTGCTATGAAGTACAAAATTTATTTAAATGTTCCCGAAAAGTATTCAGACTAAGTTTATAATACTGAAACAACTAAAAAAAAATATTAGGTTTATTATGAATCTAAGTGAACTTGCTATATTAAATTGAAGGGATTGGGGCAACATGATGAAGAAAAGGTTAAGGTCATGAAGATATATAATGTCTGCTCTTGATCACATGCACAGAGTAGTGAAAGGGCTATGATAATCCCAAACTAAAATTTTATTTTCAATATGTCAAAAAGCCTTTAATACAGGTATAGCGAACACAAGAAAACATAAAAAAAGGTACTAAATTTATTTTGGTAGCTCAATTAGGAACCAAGTTATGACTATTCAAAGTTCAAGTTTTCCATCTATTGTGTTATTGGACCAGAAGCCAATTTCATCAGTATATAACCGAAGATGCAGGCTTCAAACTAGCTATAAATCATTATAAATGTAATGTCATATAGGTAGTGTTGAACTAAAAGAATAAGTTATATACTAATGGAATCAATAATTATTAGATTAGCCTAAACATTGGTAAAAATTGCATTCTCAAAACAAAATACTGTATATTTCCACATATAAGGCGACCTTTAGATAAGACAAGGTCAAGACTAAAAAATTTGAGAATTTTCATGAATTTATCCTATACCTGTAGTATAAGATGACTGCTTATTGCGTATAAAAAGATGATGTTATTGGAAATTTTGTTATTTACTGTATCATTAGAAATTCAAAATAAATGAAATAAAACCGATTCTATATGTTTTTCCTTGTTTTCTTTATGTTTCATCATGTGATCTCTTGTGAATACTGGTTCTTCTTCCTCTTCTTTTCCTATGTCTAAACAGTTACAAACAGCCTGGTATACTAATGGCCATTTACTTCATCAATAATCGCAAAATAATCCTAAAGTGTCTTATTATTTAACACCAAAATGAATGAGAAATGAATAACTCAATCTTTACATTTTCTCAGCTGAGCTTGCATGGACACAAATTGATTTCATTGATATGGAATTATTCTTCAAATAGGCAATTTATTATAAAGTTATACCAGTAATATATAAGGTAAAAATGGTTTTATTACTTTTATTATAAGTTTATTTGATAATGTGAATCTTTTAAATGTCTACCAACAAACATCACTCAGAATTTAAGGTTTCTTTTTTAGAATTGTAGTATAAGATGACCCCCAATTTTTTAGGGTGATTTTTGGAATTTAAAGATTGATGAGGAAATATACGGAAGTTAAGACATGACACAGAAGGGCAGATTTAACTGTTCATATAAGTTTCATTTCAACAGTTAATTCTTCACAATTTCTTGGTATGATTCATGGCACAACAAGGATGGAGCTAATTTTTTTTTTTTCCAGTAGTATATCAGTAAAAAAACACCTATTTACACCATGTAAAATTAACCAGCATAATTTGACAGTAGGACAAAAACAGGTCAAAGGAATACCATTCTGAACTTATCATACAAAAGTATCTATTGGTGATAGATACCTGAAACTTTAAAAATTTACTGATTTTGGGATGAGGAATGTAATAAAACAGCTCTTTTCTCTATAATATGAATATCTTTTCTCATAATGTTTTCAGATTAGAAAATTAGAAATACGGGACACCCTTAAAATCTCTCTCTCTCTCTCTCTCTATATATATATATATATATATATATATATTTTATTTGAATATTTTGTTTGAATAAAAAGACAGACCACGTTAAGATTCTATGTAATAAGCTATTTCACCATAACCCCTTCAACAGGTTTCTGGATCATCAGACTTTACTTCCAAAAGCTGAAATGAAAAATTAAAAGAAATTCACACGTTTTTTACGGACCTCATCAAGTATACGTAAAGTTAACGAAGTGAGGTGGGAGAGAGCATATGAGTGTGTCATATGTATCATTTTAGTTTCCTATTTTAACCCCAGTGTGTCGGCTGGATGTTGCTCAAATTTAACGCGTCTCGTCTCTAGATAAAGGTGGCTAAGGGGTGAACGATAAGAACTACATTAAAGGAAGACGTTACAACAACCCCAATAAATTATACAACAGGTTTCATTCAAATTCTTAGACGTTGTCAGTTCGCGTTACTTTAACGTGCATATTTGGAAGGTTAAGGTTTGATAAATATCTAAATTTTAAAACAATCTACGAAGGAATTAGTTTGAAATTCGGTGGAGTTTTGGGTATTTTCTATGAAGCAGTCGATTGGAAAAATCCATAGACAGAACATTGAAAGAGCAATCCAATTTATATTTAGTAATTTTTTTTTTTTTTTTTTTCCACTAAAACTTTTATCTTATAGCTTGTTAGGTTGACATTTATTCGTTTGATTTTTGTTCATTAAGTAAACTCGTGGTTGTTTTTATGTACCCAATTATCAACAGTTATTCCCATTTAAATAATTTTATTCTCCACACTGGGGTAGTATCTTTCAATCTCAATTAAAATACCAATCTAAACTTTCCATTCGTGGTATTTAAAATATTTTCTCCTCTAATATTCTCCAATTGGAGAATATTAGAGGAGAAATTTGGAAGAGATGTCACTAGCAGAAAATTAGGCCCTTCTTTTACAATTTCTTATCTACACATGTTTTAAACCCCTATTTGTAACCACATACCTATATCTTCTTATATGCCTATGAGTTCCTATATACACCTACACACACATTCACATGAAACGATATATGTATATTTCCATCTTTACACATATACACCTGCAGAGAAAACGAACATCCACATGTCTCCATACCTATCTCCATATATACTTATACTTACATATATACATATACACACAAGGACATCTGCATATCCATATATATTCATACGCACACATATATATTTTTACACATCCATACGTATACACATATACACATACATACACACACCCATATATGCATACATACATACATACATATACATACACACACATATGTGTATATGCATACGCAATATGCAGAATATCTACATACCCATATATGCGTTAATTTGCACTTGCATATATCTACCCACGTATTTGTCCTTATCCTCATGTCCACCTGTGCATCCACTTATGTCCGCGTTCGAAGACTATCTCAGTATTTAATTACATTATCTATATCTTTACACATATAATATTACCCGATCTTTCATATTTATGGCAAAACATATAAGTACCTATCTAATTGTACATCTCCACACTCACAAAAAAAGAAAAAAAAAAACGGTATGCTTCTTTTTCCGTATAAAAACATATATGTACATATCAACAGGTGTCTCAGTGTGCAAATACGTTATCATAGTTGTATACATATAGTCATGTGTTAGCATTCACGTGTTTCATAGTTGTATACATATAGTCATGTGTTATCATAGTTGTATACATATAGTACCTTAACCTCCCAAATATGCACGTTAAAGTAACGCGAACTGACAACGTCTAAGAATTTGAATGAAACCTGTCGTATAATTTATTGGGGTTGTTGTAACGTCTTCCTTTAATGTAGTTTTTATCGTTCACCCCTTAGCCACCTTTATCTAGAGACGAGACGCATTAAAGTTGAGCAACATCCAGCTGACACACTGGGGTTAAAATAGGAAACTAAAATGATACATATGACACACTCATATCTCTCTCCCACCTCACTTCGTTAACTTTGCGTGTATACTTGATGAGGTCTGTAAAAAAACGTGTGAATTTCTTTTCATTTTTCATTTCAGCTTTTGGAAGTAAAGTCTGATGATCCAGAACCCTGTTAAAGGGGTTATGGTGAAATACATTATTACATGGAATCTTAACGTGGTCTGTCTTTTATTCAAACATATCTGCTCTGAATTTTACATTGAGCTCTCTGGATATCATCCTCCTCAGGTCTACCCATAATGGATTACCTAAATTTGCATAAACTATATATATATATATATATATATATATATATATATATAAAATAAAGATGTTACATACAAACAAGTACTCACGATTAAAGATGCATTTTTGTTTCGATGTGAATGCATCTCAACAGGTGAGGAACAAAGATGGTTATAAACAATTCTATTTAAAAATATTAATGAAACATCACTTTTTTCATTATTCAATTTTTTTTTTAAAAAGACATAAGTAGAAACACTTTGGAAATTGAAAGAAGAAAACAAAACACCAAGTTAAATGGAAGATCATCAAATAAGCCAGAACTTGTAGATCTTTGCATGAACCATGCTTTTATGTCTATAAGAAAAAATGTGTATAATTAAGCTTTTGAATAATAGTCAATTGTTAAACCAAAGATTTGAAACTGCCATTTTTTAGGCACGTTAAAGATCGTACATTAGAATCTTGCTGAACCTTTAACTTTATAATTCACTTCTCTTATTATTTTACCCTCTTATATACATATCGCTGTTATATTTACTATCTTAAATTAAGGTTCTAAATTGATTTGTACATGTATAATACTAGTAATAATATTAGATAAAAATAGTTTTATACCTATACTTATATTACGAGTTATATAGTTTTGTAATAGGTTTAATTTTTTTAATTTATACTAGTATTCTACAACTTTGTCTTTTTATTTATATTTTAAATTTTGAATTTAAATTTTAATGTAATATTTTAAATAGTTTATTTATTTTGC